CGGCATCAACAAACCTTCATCTCGACATGCTTTCAGATTATAAAATTATATTGCTGCTATGAATTTCCAAATGATAAGCCACTTCTTTTGAGCTATCATCCGTGGCCAAGGCGTTTAAAAAAATATAATTTAATTTAATACGTCAGTGGGCTTCGCCTGCTAGGATGGGGATGGGTTAGTGCTGTATTTGTTTGTTGTTTTGGTGATTTGTTTACCTTTCTTGCACTGCAGTCGTGTTTTTGTCACCGTTTCTTGTCGTGAAATTCTTACCCTGTGCCCCGACTGGACATCTGTGAGAAAAGAGCTTTGTAGCTCATCGGATTCCTCCTGCAGCATAAATACAGATTCGGAGTGAAAAGGGGCACCCCCAGGGGCAGCTGTCCGTGTGCATCAGTCGACCAGTAGAGGGTGGCGATGCTGCTGCCGCTGCTCTGTCGTCTAGCCTAGGGGCACTTGTGTTGCGCCCGAAACGTCGTGATTTAGTTTCTTTTAAACTCTACGTGACTTTACCGAAAGAACCAAAAAGTATGGATTTCTGCAGTCACGAAAGCTTCAAATCAAGACTTCCATAGACTCAACAATGCCCAAAAGACTCAACACCGCCCAAAGACTCAACACTGCACCATAGACTCAACACCGCCCAAAGACTCAACACTGCACCATAGACTCAACATTTCCCATAGTCTCAACACTGCCTATATACTCAAATTTGCTCATAAACTCAACACTGCCCATAGACTCAATGCTGCCCATTGACTCAACACTGCCCATACTTACACTGCCTATAGACTCAACACTGCCCATAGACTCAACACGGCCCATAGACTCATGACTGCCCAAAGACTCAACACTGCACAATAGACTAAACACTGCCCATAGACTCAACACTGCCCATAGACTCAACACTACCTATAGACTCAACACTGCACCATAGACTCAACACCGCCCATAGACTAAGCACTGCACCATAGACTCAATACCGCCCAGAGACTCAACACTGCACAATAGACTCAACACTGCCCATAGACTCAACACTGCCCGTAGACTCAACACTGCCCATAGACTCAACACTGCCCATAGACTCAACACTACCTATAACTCATCACTGCACCATAGACTCAACACCGCCCAGAGACTCAACACTGCCCATAGACTCAACACTGCCCATAGACTCAACACTACCCATAGACTCAACACTGCACAATAGACTCAACACTGCACCATAGACTCAACACTACCCATAGACTCAACACTGCACAATAGACTCAACACTGCCCATAGACTCAACACTGCCCATAGACTCAACACTGCCCATAGACTCAACACTGCACCATAGACTCACCACTGCCCATAGACTCAACACTGCCCATAGACTCAACACTGCCCATAGACTCAACACTGCCCATAGACTCAACACTGCCCATAGACTCAACACTGCCCATAGACTCAACACTGCCCATAGACTCAACACTGCACCATAGACTCAACACTGCACCATAGACTCAACACTGCACCATAGACTCAACACTGCCCATAGACTCAACACTGCCCATAGACTCAACACTGCCCATAGACTCAACACTGCCCATAGACTCAACACTGCACCATAGACTCAACACTGCACCATGGACTCAACACTACCCATAGACTCAACACTGCACAATAGACTCAACACTGCCCATAGACTAACACTGCCCATAGACTCAACACTGCCCATAGACTCAACACTTCCCATAGACTCAACACTTGCCCATAGACTCAACACTGCCCATAGACTCAACACTGCACCATAGACTCAACACTGCCCATAGACTCAACACTGCACCATAGACTCAACACTGCACCATAAACTCACAATGCCCATAAACTAAACACTGTCCATAGACTCAACACTTCCCATAGACTCAACACTGCACCATAGACTCAACACTGCCCATAGACTCAACACTGCCCGTAGACTCAACACTGCCCATAGACTCAACACTGCCCATAGACTCAACACTACCCATAGACTCAACACTGCCCATAGACTCAACACTACCTATAACTCATCACTGCACCATAGACTCAACACCGCCCATAGACTCAACACTGCCCATAGACTCAACACTGCCCATAGACTCAACACTGCACCATAGACTCAACACTGCCCATAGACTCAACACTACCCATAGACTCAACACTGCCCATAGACTCAACACTATTTATAACTCATCACTGCACCATAGACTCAACACCGCCCATAGACTCAACACTGCCCATAGACTCAACACTGCCCATAGACTCAACACTGCACCAGACTCACACTGCATAGACTCAACACTGCCCATAGACTCAACACTGCCCATAGACTCAACACTGCCCATAGACTCAACACTGCACCATAGACTCAACACTGCACCATAGACTCAACACTGCCCATAGACTCAACACTGCCCATAGACTCAACACTGCCCATAGACTCAACACTGCCCATAGACTCAACACTGCCCATAGACTCAACACTGCACCATAGACTCAACACTGCACCATAGACTCAACACTGCCCATAGACTCAACACTGCCCATAGACTCAACACTGCCCATAGACTCAACACTGCACCATAGACTCAACACTGCACCATAGACTCAACACCACGCCCATAGACTCAACACTGCACCATAGACTCAACACTGCCCATAGACTCAACACTGCCCATAGACTCAACACTGCACCATAGACTCAACACTGCACCATAGACTCAACACTGCCCATAGACTCAACACTGCACATAGACTCAACACTGCCCATAGACTCACACTGCACCATAGACTCAACACTGCCCATAGACTCAACACTGCACCATAGACTCAACACTGCCCATAGACTCAACACTGCCCATAGACTCAACACTGCCCATAGACTCAACACTGCCCATAGACTCAACACTGCCCATAGACTCAACACTGCACCATAGACTCAACACTGCACCATAGACTCAACACTGCCCATAGACTCAACACTGCACCATAGACTCAACACTGCCCATAGACTCAACACTGCCCATAGACTCAACACTGCACCATAGACTCAACACTGCCCATAGACTCAACACTACCATAGACTCAACACTGCCCATAGACTCAACACTGCCCATAGACTCAACACTGCCCATAGACTCAACACTGCCCATAGACTCAACACTGCCCATAGACTCAACACTGCCCATAGACTCAACACTGCCCATAGACTCAACACACCCATAGACTCAACACTGCCCATAGACTCAACACTGCCCATAGACTCAACACTGCCCATACTCAACACTGCACCATAGACTCAACACTGCCCATAGAATCAACACTGCCCATATACTCAACACTGCACCTAGACTCAACTGCACATAGACTCAACCATGCCCATAGACTACACACTACCCATAGACTCAACACTTCCCTAGACTCAACACTGACCATAGAATCAACACTTGCCCATATACTTCAACACTGCCCATATACTCAACACTGCACCATAGACTCAACACCGCCCATATACTCAACACTGCCCATATACTCAACACTGCACCATAGACTCAACACTGCCCATAGACTCAACACTGCCCATAGACTCAACACTGCACCATTGACTCAACACTGCCAATAAGAACAATATACCGTAACTTTATTTGTGTATTTGTCTTCCTGGAACAATCCGTCAACGTAAAGAGCTTCTCAGCTCATCGGATTCCTTAGAGTCCCCCCCCCCCACCACCCCCCCCCCACCACCTCCCCCCCACCACCTCCCCCCCCACCTCCTCCTCCCCACTCCCCCCACCTTCTCCTCCCCACCTCATCACCCCAACCTCCCCCCCACCACCTCCCCCCCACATCCCCCCACCTCCTCCTCCCCACCACCTTCCCCCCACCACCTCCCCCCACCACCTTCCCCCCACCACCTCCCCCCCACCTTCTCCCCCACCACCTCCCCCCCACCTCCTCCTCCCCACCTCATCACCCCACCTCCTCCCCCCAACCTCCCCCCAACAACCTCCCCCCCACCACCTCCCCCCCCCCACCACCTCCCCCCACCACCTCCCGCCCCCCACCATCTCCCCCCACCACCTCCCTCACCACCTCCCCCCCCACCTCCCCCCACCACCTCCCCCCACCACCTCCCCCGACCACCCCCCCCACCATCTCCCCCCACCACCTCCCACCCACCACCTCCCCCCAACCACCTCCCCCCACCACCTCCCCCCACCTCCTCCCCCCCCACCACCTCCCCCCACCACCTCCCCCCACCACCTCCCCCCACCACCCCCCCCACCATCTCCCCCCACCACCCCCCCCACCATCTCCCCCCAACCACCTCCCCCCACCACCTCCCCCCACCTCCTCCCCCCCCCCACCTCCCCCCCGCCTCCCCCCCCCCGCCACCTCCTCCCCCCCACCCCCTCCCCGCCACCTCCTCCCCCCCACCCCCTCCCCCCACCACCTCCCCCCATCACCCCCCCACCTCCCCCTTCCCACCTCCTCCCCCCCTCCACATCACCTCCCCCCACCTCCCCCCCCACCTCCCCCCCACCACCTCCCCCCCACCTTCTCCCCCCCACCTTCTCCCACCCACATCCCCCCCACCACCTCCCCCCCACCTCCCCCCCCACCTCCCCCCCCACCTCCCCCACCGCCTCCCCCACCGCCTCCCCCCACCGCCTCCCCCCCCCGCCTCCCCCCACCACCTCCCCCCCACCTCCCCCCCCACCACCTCCCCCCCCACCTCCCCCCCCACCACCTCCCCCCTCCACACCCCCCCCCCACCTCCCCACATACACAAACAACCGCGATCGATTCCACAGCAACAACATCACCACCACCACCACGAAAGCGGAATCGATTCCACCCTCACCCCCTTTACCCCGCTCACAGCCGGAATCGAATCTCTCTCTCCGTAATCGCAAACAGAATCGGAATCGAATCGAGAGCTGTGAGGGGGGGGGGGGGTCGTCAGAGAAAGGGGGGGGGGGAGAGAAAGATGGCGGCCGTGGCCGACGTTCCGGCCTTTGCCGTCGTCTGCTCGTTCTTGCGCCGCTACTCGGCGGCTCTCGACCTCCCCGCGCTCTCCTTCCCGCAGCTCGAGGAGGCGCTGCTCGAGCGCGGCGCCGGTGAGTGGCGAGAGAGAGAGAGCGCGAGAGAACGAGAGAGAACGAGAGGCGCGGCGCCATCGAGAGAGAGCTGAGCGAGCGCCTGGGCTGACTGCTACTCGGCGCCCGCCATTGATTAGTGAGGTGGTTGTTGTGGTGGTGGTTGTTGTTGTTGGTGGTGGTGGTGGTGTATGGTGCTGGTCACCCACAAACCCTTGTACCGCGACGGTCTTTGTAGGCGATCTTTGTCATTGATTACTGAGGCGGTGGTGGTGGTGGTTGTGGTTGGTGGTGGTGGGTTTAGTGGTTGGTTGTTGTTGGTGGTGGTGGTGTATGGTACTGGTCACCCAACCCTTGTACCGCGACGGCCTTCGTAGGCGATCTTTGTCATTGATTAGTGAGGTGGTTTGTGGTGGTGGTTGTGGTTGGTGGTTGGTGGTGGTTGTGGTTGGTGGTGGTGGTGGTTGTGGTGGTTGTTGATGGTGGTGGTGTATGGTGCTGGTCACCCAACCCTTGTACCAACCCTTGTACCACGACGGTCTTCGTAGGCGATCTTTGTCATTGATTAGTGAGGCGGTTTGTGGTGTTGTTGGTGGTGGTTGTGGTTGGTGGTGGTTGTGGTTGGTGGTGGTGGGTTTAGTGGTTGGTTGTTGTTGGTGGTGTTTGATGCTGGTCAACCACCCAACCCTTGCACCACGACGGCCTTCGTATGCGATCTCTGCTACTCACCCGTCATTGATTAGTGAGGTGGTTTGAGATGTTGTGGTTGTGGTGGTTGGTGGTGGTTTTAGTGGTTGTTGTTGCTGTTGTTGGTGGTGGCGGCGGCGTGGATCTTCTCTCTTTGTTTACGGAACGGGGAGCGGTGGCGCAGCGGTTAGCGCGCTGCGCTCAGAACCCGGCTGCTGCCAACGCCACCACCAACACCACCGCAGTGGCGATGATCCGAGCCGGCCCTGGGCCTCCCCTAGGTCGACTCGGTGTGTAATGAACATCGCCACTGGGGAGACAAAGGCGGCCGGGCGTGGTGTTGTTCCACCCTCCCGCCCTCGTGTGCCACAGTGCCGGCCTTCGTAGGTGCTACTCGCTAACAGCACTTGCCCGCCAACAGTCTTGTCACAGGCTATATCTTTATCTTTGGAGTTTATGGAGGAGGCCCCTGAAGGACGCTGCTGCTGCTGGGCATTTGGAGGCAGTCGCCCTCCAGCAACAACGGAGGGCAGAGGAGCGACGCTCACAACAACGAGCGCCGGGCGAATAAAATACAGCGAGTGGCACAGCGGGAGGGACAGCTGGTGCATCTGCCGGTAGTCCCGTCAACCCCATGGCACCACCTGGGTCTGTCCCGTGACCTCCTGCACCTAGCCTGGCACAGCAGTCAACCCGTGGCACAACCTGCGTCTGTCCCGTGACCTCCTGCACCGAGCCTGGCACAGTCAGCTCATGGCACCAATTGGGTCTGTCCCGTGACCTCTTGCACCTAGCCTGGCACAGCAGTCAACCCATGGCACCACCTGGGTCTGTCCCGTGACCTCCTCCTGCACCTAGCCTGGCACAGCAGTCAACCCCTGGCACCACCTGGGTCTGTCCCGTGACGTCCTCCTGCACCTAGCCTGGCACAGCAGTCAACCCATGGCACCACCTGGGACTGTCCCGTGACCTCCTCCTGCACCTAGCCTGGCACAGCAGTCAACCCATGGCACCACCTGGGTCTGTCCCGTGACCTCCTGCACCTAGCCTGGCACAGCAGTCAACTCATGGCACCACCTGGGTCTGTCCCGTGACCTCCTCCTGCACCTAGCCTGGCACAGCAGTCAACCCATGGCACCACCTGGGTCTGTCCCGTGACCTCCTCCTGCACCTAGCCTGGCACAGCAGTCAACTCATGGCACCACCTGGGTCTGTCCCGTGACCTCCTCCTGCACCTAGCCTGGCACAGCAGTCAACTCATGACACCACCTGGGTCTGTCCCGTGACCTCCTCCTGCACCTAGCCTGGCACAGCAGTCAACCCATGGCACCACCTGGGTCTGTCCCGTGACCTCCTGCACCTAGCCTGGCGAATGGCGTCTGTTGTTGTTGGTAGTGGGGTAGGTTTGGGGGACAGGAAGGGGGGTGCCATAGGGAACGAGGATGGAGCGGGGGGGGGGCGAGCCCATATACAAAGATAAAGATCCCCTGTATAGCCTTAACAGATTGTAGGGGCAAGTGCCGTTAGCGAGTAGCACCTGTGAAGGCCGGCACAACACACGGGGCGGGTGGGTGGCCAGCAGCACGCGCGGCCGCCTTTACACACCACACCAGGAATGCATTTGAGGCTGAGTCCACCTCTGGGAGGCCCAGGTCCGGTTCGGATGATCGTCACCGGTGTTGGCCGTGAGCGGGAATCGAACTCTAGTCAGGTTTGAAGCGCAGTGTAGCGCTAACCGCTACACCACCGCTCCCCTACAGCTCCAGGGGAAGCTCTCGCTGTTGCCAGGAGATGTCAACTACCTCGCCTGATATACAGGAGGACGTGGGTTCGATCCCGACCCTGACGCCTGCTGCTGTATATTTGGAGTCTGCGTGTCTCTCTCTCATCATCACCACGGTGGCTAGGAGATGTTAACTACCTCGCCTGGTGTACAGGATGACGTGGGTTCGATCCCGACCCTGACACCTGCTGCTGCTGTATATTTGGAGTCTGCGTGTCTCTCTCTCATCATCATCACGGTAGCTGGGAGATGTTAACTACCTCCCCTGGTGTGCAGGAGGTCGTGGGTTTGATCCCAATCCTGACGCCTACTGCTGTATATTTGGAGTTTGCGTGTCTCTCTCTCATCATCACCACGGTAGCTGGGAGATGTTGACTACCTCGCCTGGTATACAGGAGGACGTGGGTTCGATCCCGTCCCTGACGCCTGCTGTATATTTGGAGTCTGCGTGTCTCCCTCTCATCATCACCACGGTAGCTCGGAGATGTTAACTACCTCGCCTGGTGTACAGGAGGTCGTCGGTTCGATCCCGACCCTGACGCCTGCTGTATATTTGGAGTTTGCGTGTCTCTCTCTCATCATCACCACGGTAGCTCGGAGATGTTAACTACCTCGCCTGGTGTACAGGAGGTCGTGGGTTCGATCCCGACCCTGACGCCTGCTGTATATTTGGAGTTTGCGTGTCTCTCTCTCATCATCACCACGGTGGCTAGGAGATGTTAACTACCTCTCCTGGTATACAGGAGGTCGTGGGTTCGATCTCGACCCTGACGCCTGCTGCTGTATATTTGGAGTTTGCGTGTCTCTTTCATCACCACGGTAGCTCGGAGATGTTGACTACCTCGCGTAGTATACAGGAGGCTGTGGATTCGTTCCCGACCCTGACGCCTGCTGTATATTTGGAGTTTGCGTGTCTCTCATCATCGCCACAGTAGCTGGGAGATGTTAACTACCTCCCCTGGTATACAGGAGATCGTGGGTTAGATCCCGACCCTGCCGCCTGCTGTATATTTGGAGTCTGCGTGTCTCTCTCATCATCACCACGGTGGCTAGGAGATGTTAACTACCTCGCCTGGTGTACAGGAGGTCATGGGTTCGGGAGATGTTAACTACCTCCCCTGGTGTGCAGGAGGTCGTGGATTCGATCCCGACCCTGACGCCTGCTGCTGTATATTTGGAGTTTGCGTGTCTCTCTCTCCCACCGTGGTCGCGTGGAGTTTTATCCGGGTCCTCTGGTTTTTTCCCTCCACGTTTAGAATCAAACGTGCCTTCAAGTGTATTCGGCCGCTATACATTTCCACGTGATGAAAAGCCACTTTGTTGAGCCATCGTGCGTGATAGCCAGTGTCGCTTCTGATGAAAAAGATCTACGTAACTCAGTGGGCCTTACCTGGTAAAATAAAAAAAATAGTAAAAAAAATAAGTCTTAGACTCCCGAGGGGTATTACATTTTACTTTTCCGCTCTGGTCCACAACCATGACGTCACGTGTGATGTGCTGCCTTCCCACACTTTACCCCACCCGCACGCAGGCCCACTACGCGATAACAATAGTAGGCACCTTCTTGGTTCTTTCGGTAAAGTCACGTAGAAGGGAAGTAATAAAATAATAAAAATAAAACGTAATAATTTATTAAAACATAATAATTTATTATGTTTTATTTTTATGAAAATAATAAAAATAAAACATAATAATTTATGAAAACATAATAACTTATTATGTTTTATTTTTATGATTTCATTACTTCCCTTCTACGTGACTTTATCGAAAGAACCAAGAAGATGAATCCCTGCAGTCACGAAAGCTTTACATCGGAATAGTAGGCACGTCGACGTAGAACATGGAGCAATGAAATACGTTACATAAGCAGCCGCCTGGGTTGATTTGTTACATGTGCTTGTGCCAGGCTAGGTGCACTGTGACGCTGCCGCATGAAGGGCTGGCGAGAGGAGGTCACGGGACAGACCCAGGTGCCATGGGGTTGACCGACTGAGATGGCTGGCAGATGCACCATCTGTGCTCCCCACTGTTTTAGCCGCCCGGCGCTCCGCTCATTGTTGTGAGCTTCGCTCCACCTCTCTTCGTTGTTGCTATAGGAAGACGACCGCCTCCAACTCTCCAGTACTTTCTAAGTGCACCTAGCCTGGCACTGCCTGGCCGCGTCCATCACGAGTCCGATCTGAATACCCAGGCAGATGCTTCGTTTTGGTGAGGCTGATGATGAGGCCCCATCTTAGTGCCATGCTCAAGGTTCAGCAGCAGAGTCTCCAACTCTTCGGATTGAGAAGCAATGAGCAGATCATCATAGTAATAGGTTTTTACCCTTTCAACTGGTACAGAAACTGACACCTTTATACAAGGCATCATGTTGGCAATAACCACAACACAAGCAGTCAAAATGCAAACAAAAAGAAACAACTCTGATGATGATGATGATAATGATATGCACTGTCCTTGAAGTTGATTGGTTTACACCCGAGACAGCTTTTCTTAGAGCCTTGTCTCCATTGGTATTGGACCAGATGACGCCAAAAGGCGTACAACTCAAAGACAGCGCACTATCAGAATATTGAGAGCTCGGGGTAAGCATTTACACTATGAGACCTCCTTTACCAGTGGCAAAATATAGAAATAGTATAAAGGTGTCAGTTTTTGTACCAGTTGAAAGGGTAAAAACCTATTACTATATTTTGCCGCTGGTAAAGGAGGTCTCATAGTGTAAATTAACAGATCATCATACGTAAGCTGGTTAGCCTACATGCCTGTCTTCCCCGTCTTGCTCTCTGCCTCATCTCCCTGTCTTGCCTTGTCCCTCGCTGTCTGTGTATTCCTCCCTTGATGTCTCGCTGTCTCCCTCACTGTGTATTCCTCCCTTGATGTCTCGCTGTCTCCCTCACTGTCTGTGTATTCCTCCCTTGATGTCTCCCTGTCTCCCTCACTGTCTGTGTATTCCTCTCTCGCTGTCTCCCTGTCTCCCTCGCTGTCTGTGTATTCCTCCCTTGATGTCTCCCTGTCTCTCTCACTGTCTGTGTATTCCTCCCTTGATGTCTCGCTGTCTCCCTCACTGTGTATTCCTCCCTTGATGTCTCCCTGTCTCCCTGTCTCTCTCACTGTCTGTGTATTCCTCCCTTGATGTCTCGCTGTCTCCCTCGCTGTCTGTGTATTCCTCCCTTGATGTCTCCCTGTCTCCCTCACTGTCTGTGTATTCCTCCCTTGATGTCTCGCTGTCTCCCTCACTGTGTATTCCTCCCTTGATGTCTCCCTGTCTCCCTGTCTCTCTCACTGTCTGTGTATTCCTCCCTTGATGTCTCGCTGTCTCCCTCACTGTCTGTGTATTCCTCCCTTGATGTCTCCCTGTCTCCCTCACTGTCTGTGTATTCCTCCATTGATGTCTCCCTGTCTCCCTCACTGTCTGTGTATTCCTCCATTGATGTCTCCCTGTCTCCCTCACTGTCTGTGTATTCCTCCCTTGATGTCTCGCTGTCTCCCTCACTGTCTGTGTATTCCTCCCTTGATGTCTCGCTGTCTCTCTCACTGTCTGTGTATTCCTCCATTGATGTCTCCCTGTCTCCCTCACTGTCTGTGTATTCCTCCATTGATGTCTCCCTGTCTCCCTCACTGTCTGTGTATTCCTCCCTTGATGTCTCTCTGTCTCCCTCACTGTCTGTGTATTCCTCCCTTGATGTCTCCCTGTCTCTCTCACTGTCTGTGTATTCCTCCCTTGATGTCTCCCTGTCTCCCTCGCTGTCTGTGTATTCCTCCCTTGATGTCTCCCTGTCTCCCTCACTGTCTGTGTATTCCTCCATTGATGTCTCGCTGTCTCCCTCACTGTCTGTGTATTCCTCCCTTGATGTCTCCCTGTCTCCCTCGCTGTCTGTGTATTCCTCCATTGATGTCTCCCTGTCTCCCTCACTGTCTGTGTATTCCTCCATTGATGTCTCCCTGTCTCCCTCACTGTCTGTGTATTCCTCCCTTGATGTCTCTCTGTCTCCCTGTCTCCCTGTCTCCCTCACTGTCTGTGTATTCCTCCCTTGATGTCTCGCTGTCTCCCTCACTGTCTGTGTATTCCTCCCTTGATGTCTCCCTGTCTCCCTCGCTGTCTGTGTATTCCTCCCTTGATGTCTCGCTGTCTCCCTCACTGTCTGTGTATTCCTCCATTGATGTCTCCCTGTCTCCCTCACTGTCTGTGTATTCCTCCCTTGATGTCTCGCTGTCTCCCTCACTGTCTGTGTATTCCTCCATTGATGTCTCCCTGTCTCCCTCACTGTCTGTGTATTCCTCCATTGATGTCTCCCTGTCTCCCTCACTGTCTGTGTATTCCTCCCTTGATGTCTCTCTGTCTCCCTCACTGTCTGTGTATTCCTCCCTTGATGTCTCCCTGTCTCCCTCACTGTCTGTGTATTCCTCCATTGATGTCTCCCTGTCTCCCTCACTGTCTGTGTATTCCTCCCTTGATGTCTCCCTGTCTCCCTCACTGTCTGTGTATTCCTCCCTTGATGTCTCCCTGTCTCCCTCACTGTCTGTGTATTCCTCCCTTGATGTCTCGCTGTCTCCCTCACTGTCTGTGTATTCCTCCATTGATGTCTCCCTGTCTCCCTCACTGTCTGTGTATTCCTCCATTGATGTCTCCCTGTCTCCCTCACTGTCTGTGTATTCCTCCCTTGATGTCTCGCTGTCTCCCTCACTGTCTGTGTATTCCTCCATTGATGTCTCCCTGTCTCCCTCACTGTCTGTGTATTCCTCCATTGATGTCTCCCTGTCTCCCTCACTGTCTGTGTATTCCTCCCTTGATGTCTCGCTGTCTCCCTCACTGTCTGTGTATTCCTCCATTGATGTCTCCCTGTCTCCCTCGCTGTCTGTGTATTCCTCCCTTGATGTCTCCCTGTCTCTCTCGCTGTCTGTGTATTCCTCCCTTGATGTCTCCCTGTCTCCCTCGCTGTCTGTGTATTCCTCCCTTGATGTCTCCCTGTCTCTCTCGCTGTCTGTGTATTCCTCCCTTGATGTCTCCCTGTCTCCCTCGCTGTCTGTGTATTCCTCCCTTGATGTCTCCCTGTCTCTCTCGCTGTCTGTGTATTCCTCCCTTGATGTCTCCCTGTCTCCCTCACTGTCTGTGTATTCCTCCCTTGATGTCTCCCTGTCTCCCTCACTGTCTGTGTATTCCTCCCTTGATGTCTCCCTGTCTCTCTCGCTGTCTGTGTATTCCTCCCTTGATGTCTCCCTGTCTCCCTCACTGTCTGTGTATTCCTCCCTTGATGTCTCCCTGTCTCCCTCGCTGTCTGTGTATTCCTCCCTTGATGTCTCCCTGTCTCCCTCGCTGTCTGTGTATTCCTCCCTTGATGTCTCCCTGTCTCTCTCGCTGTCTGTGTATTCCTCCCTTGATGTCTCCCTGTCTCCCTCACTGTCTGTGTATTCCTCCCTTGATGTCTCCCTGTCTCCCTCACTGTCTGTGTATTCCTCCCTTGATGTCTCCCTGTCTCCCTCACTGTCTGTGTATTCCTCCCTTGATGTCTCCCTGTCTCCCTCGCTGTCTGTGTATTCCTCCCTTGATGTCTCCCTGTCTCCCTCACTGTCTGTGTATTCCTCCCTTGATGTCTCCCTGTCTCCCTCACTGTCTGTGTATTCCTCCCTTGATGTCTCGCTGTCTCCCTCACTGTCTGTGTATTCCTCCCTTGATGTCTCCCTGTCTCCCTGTCTCCCTCGCTGTCTGTGTATTCCTCCCTTGATGTCTCCCTGTCTCCCTGTCTCCCTCGCTGTCTGTGTATTCCTCTCTCGCTGTCTCCCTGTCTCCCTCACTGTCTGTGTATTCCTCCCTTGATGTCTCCCTGTCTCCCTGTCTCCCTCACTGTCTGTGTATTCCTCCCTTGATGTCTCCCTGTCTCCCTGTCTCCCTCACTGTCTGTGTATTCCTCCCTTGATGTCTCCCTGTCTCCCTGTCTCCCTCGCTGTCTGTGTATTCCTCCCTTGATGTCTCCCTGTCTCCCTGTCTCCCTCGCTGTCTGTGTATTCCTCTCTCGCTGTCTCCCTGTCTCCCTCACTGTCTGTGTATTCCTCCCTTGATGTCTCCCTGTCTCCCTGTCTCCCTCGCTGTCTGTGTATTCCTCCCTTGATGTCTCGCTGTCTCCCTCGCTGTCTGTGTATTCCTCCCTTGATGTCTCCCTGTCTCCCTCGCTGTCTGTGTATTCCTCCCTTGATGTCTCCCTGTCTCCCTCACTGTCTGTGTATGCCTCCCTTGATGTCTCCCTGTCTCCCTCGCTGTCTGTGTATTCCTCCCTTGATGTCTCCCTGTCTCCCTCGCTGTCTGTGTATTCCTCCCTTGATGTCTCCCTGTCTCCCTCGCTGTCTGTGTATTCCTCCCTTGATGTCTCCCTGTCTCCCTCGCTGTCTGTGTATTCCTCCCTTGATGTCTCCCTGTCTCCCTCACTGTCTGTGTATGCCTCCCTTGATGTCTCCTTGTCTCCCTCGCTGTCTGTGTATTCCTCCCTTGATGTCTCCCTGTCTCCCTCGCTGTCTGTGTATTCCTCCCTTGATGTCTCCCTGTCTCCCTCGCTGTCTGTGTATTCCTCCCTTGATGTCTCCCTGTCTCCCTCACTGTCTGTGTATTCCTCCCTTGATGTCTCCCTGTCTCCCTCGCTGTCTGTGTATTCCTCCCTTGATGTCTCCCTGTCTCCCTCACTGTCTGTGTATCCCTCCCTTGATGTCTCCCTGTCTCCCTCGCTGTCTGTGTATTCCTCCATTGATGTCTCCCTGTCTCCCTCACTGTCTGTGTATTCCTCCATTGATGTCTCCCTGTCTCCCTCACTGTCTGTGTATTCCTCCATTGATGTCTCCCTGTCTCCCTCGCTGTCTGTGTATTCCTCCCTTGATGTCTCCCTGTCTCCCTCACTGTCTGTGTATTCCTCCATTGATGTCTCCCTGTCTCCCTGTCTCCCTCGCTGTCTGTGTATCCCTCCCTTGATGTCTCCCTGTCTCCCTGTCTCCCTCGCTGTCTGTGTATTCCTCCCTTGATGTCTCCCTGTCTCCCTCGCTGTCTGTGTATTCCTCCCTTGATGTCTCCCTGTCTCCCTCACTGTCTGTGTATTCCTCCATTGATGTCTCCCTGTCTCCCTCACTGTCTGTGTATTCCTCCATTGATGTCTCCCTGTCTCCCTCGCTGTCTGTGTATTCCTCCCTTGATGTCTCCCTGTCTCCCTCGCTGTCTGTGTATTCCTCCCTTGATGTCTCCCTCGCTGTCTGTGTATTCCTCTCTTGATGTCTCCCTGTCTCCCTGTGTCCCTCGCTGTCTCTCCCCCTCCGCCGCACAGTCCCCCAGGTGCTGGTGGAGCTGCATGTGAAGCTGCTGCGGAAGTTGGGTCGCACCGTGAGCTACGAACGATGGGAGAAGCACCTCGTCCGCGTGAGTGAACCCACAGACACCGCCCCCTCCCCCCATATACAGCAGTGACACTCCCCACCCCTATAGATGAGTCCCATATACAACAGCGACACTCCCCACCCCTATAGATGAGTCCCATATACAACAGCGACACTCCCCACCCCTATAGATGAGTCACATATACAACAGTGACACTCCCCACCCCTATAGATGAGTCCCATATACAACAGCGACACTCCCCACCCCTATAGATGAGTCACATATACAACAGTGACACTCCCCACCCCTATAGATGAGTCACATATACAACAGCGACACTCCCCATCCCCTATAGATGAGTCACATATACAACAGCGACACTCCCCATCCCCTATAGATGAGTCCCATATACAACAGTGACACTCCCCACCCCTATAGATGAGTCACATATACAACAGCGACACTCCCCATCCCCTATAGATGAGTCCCATATACAACAGCGACACTCCCCACCCCTATAGATGAGTCACATATACAACAGCGACACTCCCCATCCCCTATAGATGAGTCCCATATACAACAGCGACACTCCCCACCCCTATAGATGAGTCACATATACAACAGTGACACTCCCCCATCTCCTATAGATGAGTCACATATACAACAGTGACACTCCCCACCCCTATAGATGAGTCACATATACAACAGTGACACTCCCCACCCCTATAGATGAGTCACATATACAGCAGCGACACTCCCCCATCTCCTATAGATGAGTCACATATACAACAGTGACACTCCCCACCCCTATAGATGAGTCACATATACAGCAGCGACACTCCCCACCCCTATAGATGAGTCACATATACAACAGCGACACTCCCCACCCCTATAGATGAGTCACATATACAACAGTGACACCCCCCACCCCTATAGATGAGTCACATATACAACAGTGACACTCCCCACCCCTATAGATGAGTCACATATACAACAGTGACACTCCCCACCCCTATAGATGAGTCACATATACAACAGCGACACTCCCCGTCCCCTATAGATGAGTCACATATACAACAGAGACACTCCCCACCTCTATAGATGAGTCACATATACAACAGTGACACTCCCCATCCCCTATAGATGAGTCACATATACAACAGCGACACTCCCCACCCCTATAGATGAGTCCCATATACAACAGTGACACCCCCCACCCCTATAGATGAGTCCCATATACAGCAGTGACACTCCCCACCCCTATAGATGAGTCCCATATACAACAGTGACACCCCCCACCCCTATAGATGAGTCACATATACAACAGCGACACTCCCCACCCCTATAGATGAGTCACATACACAACAGCGACACTCCCCACCCCTATAGATGAGTCACATATACAACAGTGACACCCCCCACCCCTATAGATGAGTCACATATACAACAGCGACACTCCCCACCCCTATAGATGAGTCCCATATACAACAGCGACTCTCCCCACCCCTATAGATGAGTCACATATACAACAGCGACACTCCCCACACCTATAGATGAGTCACATATACAACAGTGACACCCCCCCACCCCTATAGATGAGTCACATATACAACAGCGACACCCCCCACCCCTATAGATGAGTCACATATACAACAGTGACACCCCCCACCCCTATAGATGAGTCACATATACAACAGCGACACCCCCCACCCCTATAGATGAGTCACATATACAACAGTGACACCCCCCACCCCTATAGATGAGTCACATATACAACAGTGACACTCCCCGCCCCTATAGATGAGTCACATATACAACAGCGACACTCCCCACCCCTATAGATGAGTCACATATACAACAGCGACACTCCCCACCCCTATAGATGAGTCACATATACAACAGCGACACTCCCCACCCCTATAGATGAGTCACATATACAACAGCGACACTCCCCACCCCTATAGATGAGTCCCATATACAACAGTGACACTCCCCACCCCTATAGATGAGTCACATATACAACAGCGACACCCCCCACCTTACTATTGAGGAGGGCTGCTCAATGACAAACAAATCTCCACAGACGCTTCTTTTGTTATCGTTACAGATTTGCCAAGATCACAACTTGACGTGGGCCTGGGAGCTGGAGACTCTGGGCTACCCCAAGCTCAATCCCAGCTACAAGCTCGTCATCCTCAAGGTACCCGGATCCACTCCTCTGTCTTCCCATCACGTTGATCGCCCCGCCCGCTCGCCCGCTCGCTCGCCCATTGGCGAGATGTTGACTACCACGCCTGGCGTGCAGGAGGTCGTGGGTTCCATTCCGAGCCTGACGCCTGCTGTTGTGTATTCAGAGTTTTATTTTCTCTCTCCCCGCGGTTGCGTGGATTTAACATCTCGCCAGCGTGGTTGCCCACACAGCAGTGATTATCGCCCCTTGCCGGCAGACTAACGCACAGAGACAGCTGCCACCAGGGCGCCCCTAGGGTGTGCCACACACAGCAGCGATCATCACCCCCTCCCCCATACCAACAAACTAATGCACAGGTACAGCTGCCACCGGGGGTGCCCTATGTTATGCCACACACAGCAGCGATCATCAGACTCACGGCCGCAGGTCACTGCTCGCAAAATGAGACTCCTCTCCTGGTCCCCTTAATTTCTCACCAGGTCATACGGCATCATCCTGACACTTGAGCTCACTCACTCACTCGCCACTCACCACTCCTCTCCCCACCCCCCCTTGCCGCCCACCTCGTCCGAGGCAGCACCTGTGCGAGAGCCAGTTTGACGACAACGTCAAGTTCAAGAACGTGGTGAACGAGGAGGATGAGGACGCGATGAGGCTGCAGCCCATCGGGCGCGACCGCGACGGCCTCGCCTACTGGCTGCAGCTCGACGACGACTTCAACGTGCGCCTCTACACGGAGGAGCAGGATGACGAGGCCTCCTGGAGACTCGTCTCCCGGTGAGTGGGTGGGTGGGTTGGTGGGTGGGTGAGTGGGTGGGTGAGTGGGTGGGTGAGTGGGTGAGTGGGTGGGTGAGTGAGTGGGTGGGTGAGTGGGTGGGTGGGTGAGCGGGTGGGTGAGCGGGTGGGTGAGCAGGTCGGTGGGTGAGTGGCTGGGTAAGTGGGTGAGTGGCTGGGTCAGTGAGTGAGTGGGTGGGTGAGTGGGTGAGTCGGTGGGTGGGTCAGTGGGTGGGTGGGTCAGTGGGTGAGTTCGTGGGTGTGTGGGCGACAACTTCAAAGTGCGCCTCTACACGGAGGAGCAGGATGACGAGGCCTCCTGGAGACTCGTCTCCCGGTGAGTGGGTGGGTTGGCAGGTGGGTGGGTGGGTGAGTGAGTGGGTGGGTAAGTGGGTGGGTGAGTGAGTGGGTGGGTGGGTGAGTGGGTGGGTGGGTGAGCGGGTGGGTGGGTGAGTGAGTGAGTGGGTGGGTGAGTGAGTGGGTGGGTGAGTGGGTGGGTGGGTGGGTGAGTGGGTGGGTGAGTGGGTGGGTGAGCGGGTGGGTGAACAGGTCGGTGGGTGAGTGGCTGGGTCAGTGAGTGAGTGGGTGGGTCAGTGGGTGAGTCAGTGGGTGGGTCAGTGGGTGGGTGGGTCAGTGGGTGAGTGGGTGGGTGGATGGGTCAGTGAGAAGGGTTAGTGGGTGGGTGAGTGGGTGGGTGAGTGGGTGAGCGACGACTTCAAAGTGCGCCTTTACACGAAGTAGCAGGATGACGAGGCCTCCTGGAGACTCGTCTCCCGGTGAATGAGTGAGTGGGTAAATGAGTTGTTGGGTGGGTGAGTGAATCACTCAGCGGGTGAGTAAGTGGATGAGTGAGTGAGTGAGTGCATGAGCGGGTGAGTGAGCGAACGAATAGGTGAGCGAGGTGAGTCTATCACTCCCACCCCTACCAGGGACCGCGGTCAACTGGCCGAGGTGGTGCAGCTGCTCAAGGCTCAGGTGGAGGTGGACGACAGAGGCTGCGGCGAATCTGGTGACAGCCCCCTCGCCGCGCCCGGCCAGGAGGCCTCGGCATCCTTGTCCGGCTCGGCCGGATCCGGATCGCCGTGCGCCGAGGATCCGGCGAGCGCGGAGATCGCCGACTCGGAGCGGCGGCAGCAATCGCAGACGGACGCAGAGACGCCCGTCACAGATGCGTGTGGACCGAAAGCCGAGGTTGATGGTTCGCACGAGCAACCCTGCTCCCCAGACGACGATCGTCGGGTGAAGGAGCAGCAGCAGCAGCAGGAGGATCAGCAGCAACAGAGGCAAGAGAAGCAAGAGAATCGACAGCAGCAGCGAGAGAAGCAAGAGAATCAGCAGCAAGAACAGAAGCAAGAGAATCAGCAGCAGCACGATTCGTCTCAAGAGCAGAGGCAAGGGGCCATCGAGAGGCTTTGCGGAGTCCAGGGGGCCGCTGGCCGGGGGGTTGGAGGTGGCGAGGTGGTGAAGGCCGAGCCAGGGGACGAGCGGCACTGTGGAGAGTCCCCGCAGGAGTCAGCCGCTCTCTCCGGGAAGGCAGAAGAGGGCGCGGCGGCGGCGGCGACGAAGAAGGAATCAGGTTCGAGTTGTGGGGGAGTTGTCCATGTTTTTCGATAGACGTGTATATGCGTGTACGTTTGACGAGCTCGGGCAAAAAAGGCCATCGCCAAACCGCACTCGCATCTCGGGTTGTAATTTATTCGAGTGACCTTCTTGGTTCTTTCGGTAAAGTCACGTAGAAGGGAAATAATAAAATAATAAAATAATAAAAATAGAACATTATAAAATACTATTCTCACGACGTGTCGGCCACAACACAAGCAGCCGTCCTCAGGTGAAGAACAGGTCTGTCGGAAAGACAGCGTCTGAATGGGCACCACCAAGCTTGGCAGCGTATATTTAAGCTGGGTTGGAGGGGGGGAAGGGGCGCCTTGACAAAGGAATTTGCATATCAAGAGCAATTTAGCATATTTATGGGAAATGCAGATATGGGATTAGTCACTACTTGTGGAATGCGTAGGAGGTGGGGGGGGTTTCAAAGTCATTATTAGAGGGAAGGAATTTTAATAGTAAGGAGCTGCAGCAGCTTGCGTTGTGGCCGAAACGTATTGAGAATTATTTTATTATGTTTTATTTTTATTATTTTATTATTTCCCTTCTACGTGACTTTACCGAAAGAACCAAGAAGATGAATCCCTGCAGTCACGAAAGCTTTAAATCGAAATTTATTCAAGTGACTTTGTGTATTTTTTCGTTTATTTTGCCAGGTGAGACCCACTGATATATTCAGCTCTTTTTCAAAAGTGACCCGGTCATCACGTGGACGCTTATAGCAGCCCAAATGCTCTAAACGTGTGGTGATGTTGATTCTAAATGTACAACAGGCTTCAGGGTCAGGATCGAACCCATGACTTGTATACCAGGCGAGGTAGTTAACAGCCCTTCGAGATAGCAGCATGGAGAACCACAGACTTGCCCAGAGACCCATTCATTAACCCTTTCCCGTTCCGAGACATCTTAAAGTTGCAGGGTGGGTGTCCCGTTCACCGCTGAATCTCGGAACTCGTAAGCGGCTCAGCATTAATTATACTTGGAGAGGTGTGGCGCTGTTGTTTTTAAAGACATTGTTACCGCAGAGAACCATAGCGACAAGATCGCCGCCACTCTACGATAATTCTAGATTTGAAGCTTTCGTGACTGCAAGGATTCATACTCTTAGGTTTTTCTGGTAAAGTCACGTAAGTAAAAAAATATAAAAAATAAAATAATAATAAATGAAAATAACTCAATTAAATCACAACGTTTCGGAGGCAACATGGTTTTCTCTTCACTTGATACAGTAAATTTGGCTGTGACGGTCCCACCTGAAGACGGAGACTTGTGTTGCCTCCGAAACGTCATGATTTAATTGAGTTATTTTCATTGATCATTTCATTATTAGTATTAAATATTTTTTCACTCTACAATAGCCAGCGCCAAACTGTGCCACACCCCCTGCCGCATGGCCTTGTAGGAGCCTTGGTACCGATGAAGTTATTTTATTTTAGTTTCTCTTCCAGCTCTGTTCCGAAGACTTACATCATCCGAATTGGAAAGGGTTAATAGAGATCCACAGACTCGCACGGAGACCCATTGATTTACAGAGTTGTAATTAAACTGGCTTCACAGGTGTAGCCAGTTAATTACATCAGCCCTCTCGCCAAAGACTACACGAAACAAACTTGACATTTACATTTGGTTCTGCACCCAATTTGGCTAAAATCCATCTCTGAGAATAACAAATAAAGTGCGGTTTGACTGTCATGCAACAAGCATTACTCTCACGTGGCAGAGCGAGTGGGATTGTGCCGCCCTCTACTGTGTGTGTGGACCAGTGACACTGTGTGGACCAGAGCGTCACTCGAAGAAAAAGTGGATCTCAGAGGTAGATTTGTGATATCTGCTTCCGTGGAATATTCTGTCTGGACCAGTGCAACTTGTAGAAGAAGTGGATCTCAGAGATAACTCTTTGATATCCCTTTCCATGGGCCATTCTGTCTGGACCAGAGTGTCACTCGAAGAAAAAGGAATCTCAGAGGTAGATTTGTGATATCTGCTTCCGTGGAATATTCTGTCTGGACCGGTGCAACTTGTAGAAGTGGATCTCAGAGATAACTCTTTGATATCCGCTCCCATGGGCCATTTTGTCTGGACCAGAGTGTCACTCGAAGAAAAAGGGATCTCAGAGGTAGATTTGTGATATCTGCTTCTGTGGGCCACGTTGTCTGGACCGGTGCAACTTGTAGAAGAAGTGAATCTCAGAGGTAACTCTTTGATATCCGCTCCCATGGGCCATTCTGTCTGGACCAGAGTGTCACTCGAAGAAAAAGGGATCTCAGAGGTAGATCTGTGATATCCGCTTTTGTGGGCCATTTTGTCTGGAGCAGAGTGTCACTTGCAGAAGAAGTGGATCTTAGAGGTAGCTTGATATCAGCTTCCGTGGGTTCAATTTTCTAACACAGAGGAGTTTCGTGCAGGTCCTGTGAGATTTCGTGATACTGGTCCATAAAATGTGGATAATATTTATTAAAACCTCAGTTCATGACATAATGCAGATATGACATTTACAATTTAACGGGGGAGCAGCAACAACAGTTAATATTTGGTAGTGATGACTTTTTTAAAGATTATTATAATTATTATGCTTGTTTACCCAGGGTGGCGGCAATATTTTTTTGCTACAGCTGTCGTATAACACAGGGTGATCCGAAAAATAAGAATAGGTTTTACCCTTATTGGCAATATAACAGGAGGTGTTAATATGTTCACACACTAAATAGATACCTTTTTAAAGGAATCAAGTCTGCATTAATCACGCGTACTTATGGTGAACATGCAAACAAACATTTTAACACGTAAGCTCTGATAATATATTCATTGTCTTTGAAACTGATTGGTCTACATCGGAGACAGCCTTCTTTATGGCCTAGTCTCATCACCAGTGTCACATTAGAGAGCGCCAAAAGGCGACCAGTACAAAGACAATGCACGTATGAGAGCATTTATACCTCGGGGTTAGCAGCTATATCATGAGATACCTTTTCACTAGCGGGAAGTACCCGGCGTTGCCCGGTTAAAAAACATATTTCAAACCTACTCTTAATCTAACAGCAGTTCATACTGACTGTAGTGGTATCTGCTATGATTACAGCAGTGCATACCAACTGTGGTGGTACCTGCTATCACTACAGTAGTACATGCTGACTATAGCAGCATTTATCGACACAAAGTACTCACCTGACAGAGTGACGTGGTGAGGCCTAGTCCCGTGCAGAGTCTCCGGCCTCGCCTAGATTGTCCAGCCGGCCGAGGTGGCACCTTGGTAGGCTGGGGCTGGGCTGCTACCCCCCCCCCCCCCAGCCACGATCTCCCCTGCCGCTCTGTAGTAATATCTAGGGCCTATAGTGGTAGCATCTAGCGATTGTATAGTAGTAATAAATGCACGCATCGGGGTGGGGGGACATCGCACAGTAAAGAATTAACATCAGCGTTTAGTGTATTTTTATAGCATTTTTAACACGAAAGAAAATGTCCCCCTCACTCCCACCGAAGGCCTGCGACTAGGCATGGGCCGTCCCCCCCACTAAAGGCGCATGAGTTTGTATGGTCGTGCGCGCGTCATAAATAAATAAAAGTAAAGCGCACAAAAAACGCGCTAAATAGTTAATTAAACAAATTTATTGTTGACGGATGTGAAAACGGAATAGCACTTGCTCACCGCGGGGCTTACGGCTTGGTTTACTAGGTTTGTTTTTCTCATTCGTTCGTACCTGCTGATGATTGCTTGTGTTGCAATCGAAACGTCGTATTCTATTTAATTTTCTTTCTACGTGAATTTTCTTTCTACGTGACTTTACCGAAAGAACCAAAAAGTTATTCATGCAGTCACGAAAGCTCCAAATCAGGTTTAAAAATATAGTTTATTTCCATGTTCACTACAAGTACTGTGTGTGGTTAATGCATACTTCATTCCTTGCAAAAGGTCTCGTCTATTTGATGTATTAACATCTTACAGGGTGATACACCGCTCACTGCGGGATGTCCCATAGCACAGTTGGATTGAGTTTAAACAGCGGCAGCAACGACAGAAACTATTAATTCCCTCCTCCCTTGGCTAACGATGAAACATTTCAGGTGACGACCGAGCGCATCTCCCCGACCTCGTCAAGCGAGCAAGACCGCTCCGGTCGCCGTCAAACTCGAAGCTGCCGTCGCCGAAAATGACGAACACAACGAGAAATTCCACGCCGACGTCACTGGCGCGACGAGGCCGGAGAACGACGACAGCGGCGTCGGTGTCAAAAGCGAGCGGCAGCAGCGCGAGGAGAAGCAGGCGAAGTTGCCAATGAAGAAACGCGAGCTGAAGATGTCTCAACGGTACTCGGCGGTGGCGTCGGCGGCGGAGGCGGAGACAACGGCGGGTCCGGCGCGGCCCTGGGAGGCCGGGGCCAAGTGCCAGGATCGTCCCGGCACCCACCGCCACCACCACCGCCACCAGAAATGGGAGTCAAACTCAGAACGCCCGACGTGTAAAGCTGAGAGTAAGGGGGACGCCGCCGTGAAGCCGGAAGTCACGTTAAGTTCGCCGGTCCGCGAGGCCGGGCCGAGGCTGGGCTTTAAGCGGGAGGCGCCGTCGGACGCAGGCGCGGTTGTTAAGGAAGAAGCCGGCGCGGAGGAGTCTCCTGCAAAGGATTGTGGGGAAACGGCGGCTCGGCATTGTGAGAATGCGGAGCGCTGGCGACGCGGCGGCGCCGAGAGAGTCGGAGCCTCGTGGAGGCGGCCGGGTGGAGTGGATCAGCGCGGACAGGAAGGGCGGCGAGAGGATTGGCCTGTTGCCCACTCCTAAAAGCAGCGGTGAGCGGGAGGAGGAGGGCGATCGCAGTGGTGGACGGAGCGGACGAGGAGAAGCCGGTAATAATGACGCAGCGACTGAGGCAGCCCCGCTCGGTAATCTGCACACCGGGCCGATCTCCTCGCGCCACGGCGTTGATGATGACGACGATGACGACGTCGATGGCGGCGACGACGGCGATGACGACGATGAGGGATACGCTAGGGGGTTGGCCGATGCCATCTCGGACGAGCGCAAGCAAGATACTGCGATGGAGGCGGACCGTGTGAAGTCGCGGGACGCGGACCTGGCCCGCTGCGCCGATGAGACGCAGGCGGTGGCCGCCAGAGCTGGGGCCCCGTATCCACTCCTCCCTCACCACCGTCACCACCACCACCGTCACTCTCACCAGCGTCACCACCACTCTCACCACCACCAGCAGCAGCATCAGCAGCAGCGCCAGGGCGTCATCGTAGCCAATGTGTACATGAGGGAGGCCGCCCCTCCTCCAACGGAGGCAGGGGGCGGCGCTGATGCGGGCGAGCATCCCTCTGGAACCTCGGAGGACACGGCCGCTCTCGCGTCGTCGCGGCAGGAGGTGGTGGACTGTGGCGGCACCGCCGCTTCCGCTGTTGCCGCCATCGCCACGAGCAAGGAGGCGAGCAGAGCGCAGGCGAACGGCGCGGCGGTATCGACGAGGGCGGAGAAACCGAGGGGCGAGGGGCACGAGGGCAATAAGGAAAGGGGAGAGGCTCCAAGAAGGGAGCGGGAGAGAGGGGCGGGCACCTCCTCGCTGGCGGCTCGAGACGGCGGTGGAGAACCGGACGCGGGTGCCGCGGGTGTCGTCGCGGGCGCCGCCGGAGCCGTAGAAGAGGAGCGGCAGGAGCCGAAAGCTAAGAAGCACCGGCCGATGCCGCAAACGACAACGAAAACAACAAAAGAGGAAACTCGGCCGAGCGCCGCCAATGCAGCCCGCAAGGGTTCTGTGAAGCCAGCGGAAGTGACGTCCGGCGCGGCACGACTGGAGGAGCACGCGAGCGACCGCAGCAACACGGAGGACGAACCGGCGAGAGGATCAACGGCTGCTGCTGCTGGCGATGCCGATCATATGGTTGGGGCTCGTCACTGTCCGGATTTAGGTCCTGGGTCTGGCCCAGATGTAAGACCAGGGTCCGGTCCGGATTCACGTCCCGAGTCTGGCCTGGATTTGGGTCCTAAGTCTGGTCCAGACGTAAGACCTGGGTCTGGTCCAGATTCGGCTTCTGGTCCTGGTCCACATTCAGGCGCCGGGTCCAGTCCACGTCCGGGTGGCGAGGCTGGTCCATTAACGTGCCGTGAACTGGTTTGGAATGCGAGTCCCAAGTCCGGCGGCAACGCCACGGAGATATCGGCCAGCGACCTGCGCGTCAGCACCGTCAACCGCCAAGGGTCGGGACGCAGCAAAGGCGAGGCCTCGGAACCCGACGGTGGACGGCGAGTTGTGGTCTCGCAGGAAGCCGCCGAGGGCGATGAGGACGGGGCGGACGATGTCACAGGACCGGAAAGGGAGGACGGCATCAGGGGCGCAGCGGAAGACGGTGGGGAGCGCACGGAAGTGAACTGTGCGGACCGCAGGGCGGTTGGCATGGGTGGCGCCGACGGTGGACGAGACGGGCACGGCAGTGTTGATAATTCTGCCGGAGTTGATGGTGAATTGGGCGACGCTGCCGTCAATAGGGCTTCTACAGGAGAAGGTTCCGCTAGTGGTGGTGCTGTCACTGCCGCTGACAGGGGCAGTGAAGGAGGTGGTGACGTTGCAGCTGACGATCAAAGCGGAAGAAGAGCGGGTGAAGATGTTGGCCCTGTTCGCAGTGATGGAGACATTTCCGGTGCGGACCAAAGCAGGGGTGCACTCGCCAATGTCGGTGATAAAACCAACGGTGCGAGTGCTGCGACTGCCCGCAAAGTCGGCATTGATGATGGTGAAGATGGAGTGGTTCGTGCTCACGACGCAAGAGGCGGCGGTGGACATAGCGACGGTGTTGCTCATCCAGTTGGCGGTGGAGACGTCGCCATCGGCGATCCAGCAGCTGCGGGCGCGAGCAGTGCAACTGTTGACCAAACCGGCAGCGGAGGAGTCGCCACTACCGGTGGCCATCGGGCGAGGGGTGGAGTAGACGATATTGCCGGAGACTGCGATGAACCCGTCGGCGACCAGGTCGGAGCTCGAGGTAAAGCGTCGGGCCGCACGGGCGGTGACGCGGTTGGGACTGGGCGACCTCTGGCTGGAGCCCAAACCCCCCCCGTTGCTCAACGTGTCCATCCCGTTGCTGGGGGTAGACACGCTGCCGGTGGCGGTGATGGCGGCGGCAGCGGTGGTGGTGGTGGTGTTGCCCGTGGAACCTGTACCGCTGCCGCCGACGGAGGCGATCGTCGAGCCGTAGTTGGAGCCGGGGCGGACGATGGTTGGGAGGCGTCCGGAGGTCAGGGGAGGAGTGGGATTGGCGGCGGCGGCGTTGTTTCTGCTGGCGCTGAGAAATATGGGAATGAAGCCGAAGAAGCCCTTGGCGTTGATCCAGATAGAGGAGGAAAAGGAGGTGGAGATAGAGATGGTGCTGCTGCTGACGATGGTCAGACTGATAATGAAAATGATGCCGATCAAAGCAGTGGTGGAGATGTTGGTGATGTTCATGTAGTCAAGGGTGGAGATGGTGAAGTCAAGAGTGGAGATGGTGGTGCTGATAAACTGGAGGGTGGAGATATTGCCGGTGCGCATGAAGTCAAGGGTGGAGATGTTGCTGGTGCTGATGAAGGCAAGCGTGGAGATGATGAAGGCAAGCGTGGAGATGATGAAGGCAAGCGTGGAGATGTTGATGAAATCTTGGGTGGAGATGTTGATGAAATCATGGGTGGAGATGATGAACTCAAGGGTGGAGAAGTTACTGGTGTTAATCGAGTCAAGGGTGGAGATGTAGCTGGTGTTGATCATCTCAAGAAGGGAGACGTTGGTGTTGATCAACTGAAGGGAGATGTGGCTGGTGTTGGTCAACTCAAGAAGGGAGATGTTGGTGTTGATCATCTCAAGAAGGGAGATGTGGCTGGTGTTGATCATCTCAAGAAGGGAGATGTGACTGGCGTTGATCAACTCAAGAAGGGAGACGTGGCTGATGTTGATCAACTCAAGAAGGGAGTTGTGGCTGGTGTTGATCATCTCAAGAAGGGAGACGTTCGTGTTGATCAACTGAAGAAGGGAGACGTTGGTGTTGATCATCTCAAGAAGAGAGACACGGCTGATGTTGATCAACTGAAAAAGGGAGATGTGGCTGGTGTTGATCAACTGAAGAAGGGAGACGTTGGTGTTGATCATCTCAAGAAGAGAGACACGGCTGATGTTGATCACCTGAAAAAGGGAGATGTGTCTGGTGTTGATCATCTCAAAAAGAGAGATGTAGCTGGTGTTGATCAACTCAAGAAGGGAGATGTGGCTCATGTTGATCATCTCAAGAAGGGAGATGTGGCAGGTGTTGATCAACTGAAGAAGGGAGATGTTGCTGGTGTTGATCAACTCAAGAAGGAAGATGTTGCTGGTGTTGATCAACTCAAGAAGGGAGACTTGACTGGTGTTGATCAACTCAAGAAGGCAGATGTGGCTGGTGTTGATCATCTCAAGAAGGGAGATGTGGCTGGTGTTGATCATCTCAAGAAGAGAGATGTTGGTGTTGATCAGCTCAAGAAGGGAGATGTTGGTGTTGATCATCTCAAGAAGAAAGATGTTGCTGGTGTTGATCATCTCAAGAAGGGAGATGTGGCTGGTGTTGATCATCTCAAGAAGGGAGATGTGGCTGGTGTTGATCATCTCAAGAAGAGAGATGTTGGTGTTGATCAGCTCAAGAAGGGAGATGTTGGTGTTGATCATCTCAAGAAGAAAGACACGGCTAATGTTGATCAACTCAAAAAGGGAGATGGGGCTGGTGTTGATCATCTCAAGAAGGGAGATGTGGCTGATGTTGATCAACTCAAGAAGGGAGATGGGGCTGGTGTTGATAATCTCAAGAAGGGAGACGCGGCTGGTGATGATCAACTCGAGAAGGGAGATGTGACTGGTGTTGATCAACTGAAGAAGGGAGATGTTGCTGGTGTTGATCAACTCAAGAAGGGAGATGTTGCTGGTGTTGATCAACTCAAGAAGGGAGACTTGACTGGTGTTAATCATCTCAAGAAGGGAGATGTTGGTGTTGATCATCTCAAGAAGGGAGATGTGACTGGTGGTGATCAACTCAAGAAGGGAGATGTGGTGGGTGTTGATCAACTCAAGGGATGTATTGCTCATGTTGATCTTCTCAAGAAGGGAAGCGTGGCTCATGTTGATCAACTCAAGAAAGGAGATGTTGGTGTTGATCAACTCAAGAAGGGAGATGTGGCTGGTGTTGATCAACTCAAGAAGGGTGATGTTGCTGGTGTTGATCATCTCAAGAAGGGAGATGTTGCTGGTGTTGATCAGCTCAAGAAGGGAGATGTGGCTGGTGTTGATCAACTCAAGAAGGGAGATGTGGCTGGTGTTGATCAACTCAAGAAGGGAGATGTTGCTGGTGTTGATCATCTCAAGACGGGAGATGTTGGTGTTGATCATCTCAAGAAGGGAGATGTGGTGGGTGTTGATCAACTGAAGAAGGGAGATGTGGCGGGTGTTGATCAACTCAAAAAGGGAGATGTGGCTAGTGTTGATCAACTCAAAAAGGGAGATGTGGCTAGTGTTGATCAACTCAAGAAGAGAGACGCGGCTGGTGTTGATCAACTGAAGAAGGGAGATGTTGGTATTGATCATCTCAAGATGGGAGATGTTGCTGGTGTGGATCATCTCAAGAAGGGAGATGTTGCCGGTGTGGATCATCTCAAGAAGGGAGATGTGACTGGCGTTGATCAACTCAAGAAGGGAGATGTGGCGGGTATTGATCAACTCAAGAAGGGAGATGTGGCTAGTGTTGATCAACTGAAGAAGGGAGATGTGGCGGATGTTGATCAACTCAAAAAGGGAGATGTGGCTGGTGTTGATCAACTCAAGAAGGGAGACGTTGGTGTTGATCATCTCAAGAAGGGAGATGTTGCTGGTGTGGATCATCTCAAGAAGGGAGATGTTGCCGGTGTGGATCATCTCAAGAAGGGAGATGTGGCGGATGTTGATCAACTCAAAAAGGGAGATGTGGCTGGTGTTGATCAACTCAAGAAGGGAGACGTTGGTGTTGATCATCTCAAGAAGGGAGATGTTGCTGGTGTGGATCAACTCAAGAAGGGATATGTTGCTGGTGTGGATCATCTCAAGAAGGGAGATGTGACTGGCGTTGATCAACTCAAGAAGGGAGATGTGGCGGGTATTGATCAACTCAAGAAGGGAGATGTGGCTAGTGTTGATCAACTGAAGAAGGGAGATGTGGCGGATGTTGATCAAGTCAAAAAGGGAGACGCGGCTGGTGTTGATCAACTCAAGAAGAGAGACGCGGCTGGTGTTGATCAACTGAAGAAGGGAGATGTTGGTGTTGATCATCTCAAGAAGGGAGATGTTGCTGGTGTGGATCATCTCAAGAAGGGAGATGTTGCTGGTGTGGATCATCTCAAGAAGGGAGATGTGACTGGTGTTGATCAACTCAAGAAGGGAGATGTGGCTGGTATTGATCATCTCAAGAAGGGAGATGGCGCTGGTGTTGATCAACTCAAGAAGGGAGATGTGGCTGGTGTTGATCAACTCAAGAAGGGAGATGGGGCTGGTGTTGACCAACTCAAGAAGGGAGATGTGGCTGGTGTTGATCAACTCAAGAAGGGAGATGGGGCTGGTGTTGACCAACTCAAGAAGGGAGATGGGGCTGGTGTTGACCAACTCAAGAAGGGAGATGTGGCGGGTGTTGATCAACTCAAGAAGGGAGATGTGGCTGGTGATGATCAATGCAAGAAGGGAGATGTGGCTGGTGATGATCAATGCAAGAAGGGAGATGTGGCTGGTGTTGATCAACTCAAGAAGAGAGACGTGGCTGGTGTTGATCAACTCAAGAAGGGAGATGTTGCCGGTGATGATCAATGCAAGAAGAGAGATGTGGCTAGTGTGGAGCAACTCAAAGGTGGAGATTATGGTGGCATTCGTAAAGTCAAGGGTCGTGTTGACGAAATGAAAGATGTTGACGAAGTTAAAGAACTAAAAAAAGGAATTGTTGCGACAGTTGATGAAGTTGAGGGTAGAGAAGACGATGTAATTATTGGTGGAGCCAAGAAGACAGCCGATTCCGTTGACGCTCAAACCGAGGGTGGAGATGGGGGCGGCGTCGTTGGAGACCAGACTAACGGGAGAGATGGCAGAGGAGACGCCACGTCTTCTGTCAGCTCAGCACCCAATATCGGCGGGGACGACGACGAGTCTTGCGATCGCGAAGGAGACCGCGCTGGTGATGCTGCTGTTGCAGCCGCTCGTCGTGATGAGCTCGGTGTCGGTGGAGCTGGAGGTGAAGTTGTCGGTGGAACCGATGGTGGCGATGGTGGTCGCGTTGACAGGATCCTTGCTGCTGATGGCACAGCTGACGGCAATGCTGCCGCTGATGTTGGTGAGCACAATGCTGACGGAGCCCTCGGCCTACAAGGTGACAAATCTTCTGGCGCAGACGACAAACTGGACAAAGGGGCTTCGGAGGGCGAGGGGCACCCGGTCAAAATAGCCGATGGAGAAGGAGTAGAGCAAGCCGGACCGGGGGTTACGGGTCAGGAGTCGCACCTGGACACAAACTTCCGAGTGCACGGCCAGGACGAGTCCTCGAAGGAAGCCACGAGCGAGAAGAAAAAGATTGTGAAGGAACGGTCAGAGGAGGACAAGGAGGAGAACAAGGAGGAGGAGCGGGAGGACTGCGGGAAATCAGCGGAGAGAGGAGGCCACTTCTCGAAGAACGACGGCAAAGACCCCGACGTCCGCCTCCCCCCGGAGGACCCCGAGGCCCAGCAGCGGACTGCCAACGAGCCGGCGCAGCCCGAGGCCGCCGAAGCGGCAGGAGATTCGGCCAAACCCGAATCGTCGGCAACGGCCGGGGACGCCGGCCGGCTCGAAACGGCGACGGAGACGACTCCGGGAGTCGGCGGCGAGGAGGAGGACACGACGTCCGCGGGTCGCCAAATGGACGCCGGCGATTTGAGGCCTCCAGACTGCGACGCCGGCCGAGCGGCCGCCCCTGGCAGGGGCGGCGGAAGGAGGCGCGGCGGCCGCGGGAAGGCGAGGGTGGTGGAGAGGAGCAAGCTGCCGTTGGCCGGGCAGGAGAGCGAGCAGCGGGAGGGAGGAGAGGGCGGAGAAGAGGGGGAGGGAGGAGGGGAGCCGAGGTGGACTCTACGGAGGTCGACGCGGATCTCGCGCCTGCCCCCGCCGAGCTACGACGAAGCGGGGGCGGCCGCAACATCGGCGGCATCGGAGGCGGCGGCGGCGAAAGAGATGAAGGGGAAACGCGGCCGGAGCGACGTGGCCGGGGACGTGGGGAGGTCGCAGGGGTCGAGGCAGGAGGCCGTCAAGCGCAAGGTGAGTGGGGCTGGTGGCGGCGCCGGGCCACTTTTTTTTTCATTTGGATATTGTTGTTACGGTGCATGAGAGATTGGTGTCAGAAACATGTGGCACTACTTGAGTCATATTGGCTGGCACGAGACAAATGACAAAATGTGCATTGGACACCCATGGGTCGTGGTGATGGTGATAGACTGCACTATACACTACTATGCACTGCACTATACACTACTATGCACTACACTATACACTACACTACTATGATGTGCACTACTTGAGCATATTGGCACAAGACGGAGAGGAAAATGGTAACAACAAATGGCAAAATATGCATTGGACACCTACTAAAGGCTATCTGCCCATGGGTCATGATGATGATGATACACTGCACAATAAACTACGCTATACACTATACTATACACGACTATACACTACACTACTATGATGTGCACTACTTGAGCATATTGGCACAAGAGAGAGATGATAGTGGAAACAACAAAAGGAAAAATATGCATTGGACACCTACGAAGGGCGATCTGCCCATGGATTGTGATGATGATCACGTATCTATGTTCGTGGTGAACTCGGCAACAACGAGCGGAGCGCCGGGCGGCTGGAACGTGGCGAGTTGGCACAGTCAGAGGCACCCGTCGTGCATCGGCCGGTCATCTCATTCAGTCTACCCCATGGCACCTGGGTCTGTCCTGTTACCTCCACTTACACACCCTGCAGAACAGGGGGAAAACAAGCAAACGCCACACACCATACGAGGCAAGTGCTGTTAGCGAGTAGCACCCATTAAGATCGGCACAGCACACGAGGGGGGTGGGTGGCCAGCAGCACGCCCGGCCGCCTTTGTCTCCCTCGTGGTGATGTTTCCACACAGCACCAGGTACTGAGTCGACCGAGTGGAGGCCCAGCACTTTTTCAGATAATTGTCACTGGCCGTGAGCGGGAATTGAACTCGGGTCACGAGGCTTGTAGCGCAGCACGCGAACCACTGCACCGCCGCTCCCCATACACAACGAAACAAAGATCCCCCTGTAGCCTTACCGGACTGTAGGGGCAAGTGCTGTTAGCGAGTAGCACTTATGAAGGCCGCCATGCCACACAAAAGGTTGTCGTGATGTTGCCGCTTTGTATGCGCTTGATGATGACGACGAAGTTATTGCCTCTGATGTTAACGATGTTGTCTTTGTCATCACCTTCATCTCACGTGCTCTCTACCGTTACCACCGCCACTACCCACCACCATCACCGCCATTACCACCATCATCACCACTGTCAAAACCACTTCCACCGCCACTGTTACAACCGCCACCACCATATCTACCACCTCTAACCACCGCCACTTCTTCCGCCACTACCACCACCATCACCGCCACTACCACCATCATCACCCTTACCACCACTGTTACCACCACCATATCCACTACCATCACCGCCACTACCACCATCATCACCCTTACCACCACCACCATATCCACTACCCACCACCATCACCGCCACTACCACCATCATCACCCTTACCACCACTGTTACCACCACCACCATATCCACTACCTCTACCATCACCGCCACTACCACCATCATCACCCTTACCACCACTGTTACCACCACCACCATATCCACTACCCACCACCATCACCGCCACTACCACCATCATCACCCTTACCACCACTGTTACCACCACCACCATATCCACTACCTCTACCATCACGGCCACTGCCATCACCACCACGGTCACCAGCGCACGCCGGGCCGACGGCAAGGCGCCAACAAGCGCCCGCGTGGCGCCGGCGGCCGGAGCAAGCGCAAGCGTTGGTCGCGGTGGTGCAACGCGGACACGGAGAGCGAAGACGAGGATGACGAGCAGGAGCAGGAGGAGGAGGAGTTCCTGATGGACGGCCTGCAGCGCAACGACGACGACGAGGAGGGGGACGGCATCGTCTACGGCGGGGCGCGGTGGCCCCGGCTGGCGCCCGCAGAGCGGCGCGCCGACGAGGCCAAGGCGACGGAGGGCGAGGATGTGGATGGCGAAGAGGAGGATGAGGAGGAGGAGGAGGAGGAGGACGATGACGAGGAGGGAGGGGAGGTGGAGGAGGAAGGGAAGGAGGGGCGGGACAGCGGGCAGGAGCAGGTGGAGGTGGTTGAGGAGGATCCCTGTAAGAAGTGTGGACTCTCCAACCATCCTGAGCTGGTACGGGCCCACGAGAGTGACGATACCACCACCATCACCAGCATCACCACCACCATCACCAGCATCACCACCATCACCACCACCACCACCAGCATCACCACCATCACCAGCATCACCACCACCATCACCAGCATCACCACCATCACCACCACCACCACCACCAGCATCACCACCACCAGCATCACCACCACCACCAGCATCACCACCATCACCAGCATTACCACCACCATCACCAGCATCACCACCACCAGCATCACCACCACCACCAGCATCACCACCACCACCAGCATCACCACCACCACCAGCATCACCACCATCACCACCAACATCACCACCATCACCACCAGCATCACCACCAGCATCACCACCATCACCACCAGCATCACCACCATCACCACCAGCATCACCACCACCACCAGCATCACCACCACCACCAGCATCACCACCATCACCACCAGCATCACCACCATCACCACCAGCATCACCACCACCACCAGCATCACCACCATCACCACCAGCATCACCACCATCACCACCAGCATCACCACCACCACCAGCATCACCACCACCACCAGCATCACCACCATCACCACCAGCATCACCACCATCACCACCAGCATCACCACCATCACCACCAGCATCACCACCACCACCAGCATCACCACCATCACCACCAGCATCACCACCATCACCACCAGCATCACCACCACCACCAGCATCACCACCACCACCAGCATCACCACCACCACCAGCATCACCATCACCACCACCACCCCTCCGCACAGCCACTATCGACCACGCAGACTGATGGGGCCAAGTTAACTATAATACTAAATCCACCGTGTCCCCTATAAACGAGCGATCCCAATCCCCCATTTCCCCTATAAACGAGCGATCCTAATCCCCCCGTGTCCCCTATAAACGAGCGATCCCAATCCCCCGTGTGCCCTATACACAAGCAATCCCAATCTCCCCGTGTCCCCTATAACGAGTGATCCCAATCCCCCATTTCCCCTATAAACGAGCGATCCTAATCCCCCCGTGTCCCCTATAAACGAGCAATCCCAATCCCCCGTGTCCTCTATAAACGAGCGATCCCAATCCCTCGTGTCCTCTATAAACGAGAGATTCCAATCCCCCTGTGTCCCCTATAGAAGAGCAATCCCAATCCCCTGTGTCCCCTATACACAAGCAATCCCAATCCCGTCATGTACCCTATAAACGAGCGATCCCAATCCCCCTGTTTCCCCTATAGACGAGCGATTCCAATCACAGATGTGACATCACCGCTCGCTTGCCGTGCAAAATATTATATCCATTATTGCGCCCCCCCCCCCCCCCCCCCCCCCAAATACAAAAGTCTATTTTAATACTTTTTGCATTGTGTACAGTCTGGAAGCTACCCACATGCCAAATTTCAAGTTTGTTGCATGTTGGGAAGTATGCTAAACATTTCGAACAGACACACATATTCACAAATTTCCCTTTTATATATATCGATAAATGTTTCTGGGTTTGATCGTGTAAGTATAGATGTGTCGTAACCCTCCACCACCCGACACAGCCAATTGGTAAGAGATTTATCACGTAAAACAAAACACCAATTTAGCTACTACTTCAGCCCGCCGGTGTGTTGGAGAGTAAATCCACAACATTTACAATTTGAGTTGTACGACGTTTCGCTGGTTATTACATGAACCGGCATCATCGGGCGATTTGACAGAATATTCTGGCAAATCGCCCAATGTGTGTGCTGCTGCTGCTGATATTGCTGCTGGTGTTGATGGTGATGCAATGATGCCGCTGCTGATGATACTGCTGTTGCTATTTCTGCTGTTGCTATTGCTGCTGATGGCAATGCTGGTGATGGTAATGATGGCGATGGTGCTACTTCTGCTGATGCTAACGATGATACTGCTGCTGACGATCTACTGACTGATGCTTTTACTACTGCTGCTGCTGCTTCTACTCCCACTGATGATGATGCTGCTACTGCTGCCGCTTCCATCGCCGCCACTGCTTCTCTTCCCACTGATGATGATCTTCTTGGTTCTTTCGGTAAAGTCACGTAGAATGGAAATAATAAAATAATAAAAATAAACATAATAAAATAATTCTCACGACGTTTCGGCCACAACGCAAGCAGACGTCCTAAGGTGAAGAATAGGTCTGTCGAGAAGACAGAGTCTGAATGAAATAACCCCAGGCTTGGAGCGTCTATTTAAGCTGGGTTGGAGGGGGAAGAGCGCCTTGACAAAATAATTTGCATATCAAGAGGAATTTAGCATATTTATGGGAAATGCAGATATGGGATTAGTACAACTTGTCAAATGCGTAGGAGGTGGGCGGGGGGTTTTGTCAAGGCGCTCTTCCCCCTCCAACCCAGCTTAAATAGACGCTCCAAGCTTGTTGGGGTTGTTTCATTCAGACTCTGTCTTCTCGACAGACCTATTCTTCACCTGAGGACAGCTGCTTACGTTGTGGCCGAAACGTCGTGAGAATAATTTAATGTTTATTATTTTATTATTTCCATTCTACGTGACTTTACCGAACGAACCAAGAAGATGAATCCCTGCAGTCACGAAAGCTTTAAATCGAAACTGATGATGATGTTGACGATTCTGCCCGTGCGCGCGTCTCTCTGTCTGTGCGCGTGTGCAGATCCTGCTGTGTGACTCGTGCGACAGCGGCTACCACACGGCATGCCTGCGCCCCCCGCTCATGCTCATCCCCGACGGGGAGTGGTATTGCCCGCCCTGTGAGCACGTACGTCCCACGCGAACCCGTCCAACCGCCCACCATGTGCCGCTAGCGAGGGTGGGGGGTGGGGTTTAGGGTTGAGTGCTCCAGCAAGTGGGCGGCAGTGGCATCGCCTCGTGCCCGCACAGTCAACAAGCGTCAGCCGAGTTTCGATTCTCGACTCGGGCGCCTTGCCACTTGGAGTTAGTCAGTGATGCCCCTGTTCTGCAGAGTGTGTGAGTGAATGAGTGCGAGTGAGAGTGTGTGTGTGTAGAGTTTGTATGTGCTCCCCCTGTTGAGTGAATGAGTGTGAGTGAGAGTATTTGTGTGTGTGTAGAGTTTGTATGTTCTACCCCTGTTCTGCAGACTGTGTGAGTGAACGAGTGTGAGTGAGAGTAATGTGTGTGTGGAGAGTTTGTGTTCTCCGCCTTCTGTTCTGCAGAGTGTATGAGTGAGAGTGTGTGTGTGTAGAGTTTGTGTGTTCTACCCCTGTTCTTCAGAGTGTGTGAGTGAATGAGTGTGAGTGAGAGTGTGTGTGTAGAGTTTGTGTGTTCTACCCCTGTTCTTCAGAGTGTGTGAGTGAATGAGTGTGAGTGAGAGTAATGTGTGTGTGTGTAAAGTTTGTGTGTTCTTCCCCTGTTCTGCAGAGTTTGCGTGAATGAGTGTGAGTGAGATTGGGTGTGTGGTTAGAGTTTGTGTGTTCTCCCCCTGTTCTGCAGACTGTGTGGGTGAATGAGTGTGAGTGAGAGTGTGTGTGTGGGTAGAGTTCGTATGTGCTCCCCCTATTCTGCAGACTGTGTGAATGTGTGAGTGTGAGCGAGAATATGTGTGTGTAGAGTTTTGTTCTCCCCCTGTTCTGCGGAGAGTGTGAGTATGTATGTTGAACTTCTTTCGCACCGTACGTAGCCAACCGTGTTAATCGGAGGTGTGAGTGCGAGTGAGTGAGTGATTGCTTGAGTAAGAGTGTGTGAATGAGGGAGTGATTACGTAAGTGAGTGTTCGAGTGAGTGATTGCGTGAGTAACAGTGTGTGAGTGTGCGCGTGAGAGCGCGTGCCCAGCCCACCGCATGCCCCAAGCAGCTTCCGTTTGGCCGGATAGAGGGGGCGGCAGAATGGGCACGACCTCCTGCATACCAGGCGAGGTAATTAACATCGTTCCCCCGCCCTGTCCCCCACCGGCAGAAGAAGCTGTGCGTGAAGCTGCAAGAGGCGTTGACGGACCTCGACGCGATGCTCAAGAAGAAGGAGCGGGCGGAGAGAAGGTGGGGCAGTGGGGGGGGGGCATGTGGGGGGGCTGAATGGTTGTTGTTGATGGTGACGATGGTGATGATGGTGATGGCGATACGCAAGTAATCGGATTGCTTGAGTAATTTTGATCACTTGAGTAATCCTATTACTTTAGTGATTAAATTCGCCGAGTAATCCGAATACTTGGGCGATCGGATCAGTTGACTATTCCGATTACTTGAGCATTCATATTACCGGAGTAATCCGATTACTTGAGAAATCGGATCAGTTGACCGTCCCGATTACTTGAGCATTCTTATTATCGGAGTAATCTGATTACTTGAGAAATTGGATCAGTTGACCGTTCCGATTACTTGAACATTCCTATTACCGGAGTAATCCGATTACTTGAGAAATCGGATCAGTTGATCGTTCCGATTACTTGAGCATTCCTATTACCGGAGTAATCCGATTACTTGGGCAATCGGATCAGTTGACCGTTCCGATTACTTGAGCATTCCGATTACTTGAGCATTCCGATTACCGGAGTAATCCGATTACTTGAGCGATCAAATCAGTTGACCGTTCCGATTACTTGAGCATTCCGATTACCTGAGTAATCCGATTACTTGAGCGATCTGATCAGTTGACCATTCCAATTACGTGAGCTTTACGATTACCGGAGTAATCTGATTACTTGAGCATTCGGATCAGTTGACCATTCCGATTACTTGAGCATTCCGATTACCGGAGTAATCCGATTGAGCGATCGGATCGGTTGACCATTCCGATTACTTGAGCATTCCTATTATCGGAGTAATCAGATTACTTGAGCGATCGGATCAGTTGACCGTTCCGATTACTTGAGCATTCCTATTACCGGAGTAATCCGATTACTTTAGCTCTTCGATTACAGCCCTGCTCTGGTAGCCCCAGTTGAGTCGAACCACCGGCTGAACTTTTTTTTGTGACTTTGCGGAGAGAGCGGTGGCCCAGCGGTTAGCGCACTGCGCTAGGAACACGGCGACCCGAGTTTCGATTCCCGTCCGCTGCCAACGTCGGCGACGAAACACGCGAACCAGTCCAGCACCCTCCCCTAGGTCGACTCGGCCTCAAATGATTACACTGGTCAACAAAAAAAGAACATTTTTTTCTGGCCTGGACTTTTGCAGCTGCTCTAGACTAATTTCAGGGTGCTGATTCCAAATCTGATTTCAGATTTGCTCTATCACATCTCATTTTTATGCTATCGGCATACCCCATTTTCATTGATTTTACCCGAAATTAACTCTGTCACTTATGATTGCAAGTTGTTGTGAGTCAGTGACTGCTTTAGTGTTAAAATATGGTGCTGTATTTTTAGGATAGTGTGTTTATAATATCATTTTATGTAGATATCCACATTTATTTAATATTTTTCTTCCGCAGTTTTTATTGAAAATGCAATATTTGATATCTCAAAAACCTCCTGATCTGATAGACAAAAACTGATGCCAGATTTGGAATCAGCACCCCAAAATCACCTTACAACCATTGGAATACCTTATGCCAGAAAAAGTGTGTTGACCAGTGAATTATCCGTTGCGATGTGTGACGCTGCCGGCACCCTCCCCTAGGTCGACTCGGCCTCAAATGATTATCTGTTGCGATGTGTGACGTCCCGTTCTGGCGCTGTGACGGCACTTGCCTCCCCTGCAGCGCGTGAAAGGCTACACGGGGGATCTTTGTCTTTGTGTTTTTTCCCACGTCGCAGGAAGGAACGGAGCATCTACCTGGGAGTCAACACGGAGAACATCATCAATCCGGCCATCAAGGTGCGTTGAATGGCCCTCTTGGGTTTCTGTCCCGTGCCCCAGGAGCTTCCGATAACTCTGAACAGGCTGCCGCTGCTGCTGCAGCTGCTGCTGCTGCTGCCGCTGCTGCTGCTGCAGCTGCTGCTGCCGTTGCTGCTGCTGCAGCTGCTGCTGCCGTTGCTGCTGCTGCTGCTGCAGCTGCTGCTGCTGCTGCCGCTGCTGCTGCTGCAGCTGCTGCTGCCGTTGCTGCTGCTGCTGCCGCTGCTGCTGCTGCAGCTGCTGCTGCCGTTGCTGCTGCTGCAGCTGCTGCTGCCATTGCTGTTGCAGCTGCTGCAGCTGCTGCTGCTGCCGCTGCTGCTGCTGCCGCTGCAGCTGCTGCTGCCGCTGCCGCTGCAGCTGCTGCTGCTGCTGCCGTTGCTGCTGCAGCTGCCGTTGCTGCTGCAGCTGCTGCTGCTGCCGCTGCTGCAGCTGCTGCTGCTGCTGTACAGAGCACTGTCTCGGCCACCGCTGGAATCCTACTGCTGATGATGCTGACAACGACGATGCTACTGCAGCTGACGATGATGATGCTATTGCTGCTGTTAACAATGATGTTGCTATTGCTGCTGCTAACAATGATGTTGCTATTGCTACTGATGCTGCTGATGATGATGCTATTGCTGCTACTGACAGTGATATTGATGCTATTGCTAATGCTGACAATGATGTTGCTAATGCTGCTTCTGCTGACAATAATGATGCTGCTGCAGCTGATAACGAAGATTTGATTGCTGCTCCTGTTGATGCTCATGGTGCTCCTCATGATCATGACAACGACGATGACGACGACGATAATGACGGTGTCGTCGCGGGCAGACAGCGACGCTGCATGCTGCTCCTCCGGCAGGGCATTGCACGTCGCCCCTGCCGGCGGAGGAGCGTGCGGAGCTGCACGCTCTGCTGCTGATGACGACGACGACGATGATGATGATGATGATAACGATGATGATGCTATTACTGTTGACGCTGCTGCTGCTGCTGATGATGATGGTATTGCTGTTGATGCTGCTGCGATGATGACGATGCTGCTGCTGATGACGACGATGATGGTATTGCTGTTGACGCTGCTGATGATGATGATGGTATTGCTGCTGCTGCTGCCAATGACGACAACGGTGGTGGTATCATCGCAGGCGGAGAGCGAAGCTGCTGCTGCTGCTCCTTCCCGCTGCACGTCCCCGCCGGAGGCGCAGCGCGCGGAGCTGCACGCCCTGCTGCTGCTGGAGCGGCGCTCGGCACGCGCGAGGCGAGCGCCGGTCAGCTACCGCTTCGAGGCCTTCGACGAGGCCATCGACGAGGCCATCCAGTACGACATGAGGGAGGTCGAGGGTGAGTGGGGGCAAGGGTCACACGGGTGACACGGGTCACACGGGTCACACGGGGACACGGGTCACACGGTGGCACGGGGACAGAGACACGGGACCCAGGACCGGTTCAGATAATCGTCCGCTGCACTACCGCTCTCCACACATACACAACAAAGACAAAGATCCCCCTCGTAGGCCTTAGAATACTTTTTGGGGCAAGTGCTGTTAGCGAGCACCTACGCGCACACACGCTGACACGCGCGCACGCGCGCGCGCTCAACCCCTGCGCCAGTATCGCCGGACAATCGATTCGCTGATTTTTCCCATTTTTCCCTCTGCCGGAATCGCGGCACGCAGGAGCCGGCCTCGGCAAGGACATCGAGAACCTGAAAGCGTCCCGGCCCCGCCCGCCCGCCCCGGTGCATCGTGGGAAGGACATGTCGGCCATCCTGGGGGCGGCCGTGGAAGACGGCGATGATGGGGGCGATGCAGAGGAGGATGAGGATGAGGAGGATGAGGAGGAGGAGGAGACGCGGGGAGCCGGGGGCAAAGGAGTAGTGCAGCCCAAGGAGGAGGAGGAGGAGTTGGTTTCCGGGGAAGGCGAGGTTACCGGGCGCGACGAGGTTGCCGCGGCGATGGGCCGAGGGAGGAAGCGGAGGTACAGGAAGAGGAGGAGGCTGAACGCGCTGGACAGCGAGAGCAGCCGTGACGCCTCGCAGGACGAGGAGTACCGCTGCGAGCAGAGGTGAGCGCTCGCCGATGTTTGTTGGGGAGGGGTGAGCGGGTGGGTGGGTGAGTGGGTGTGTGGGTGGGTGGGTGGGTGAGTGAGTGTGTAAGCGGGTGGGGGGGGTGAGTGAGTGTGTGAGCAGGTGGGTGGGTGAGCGAGTGGGTGCGTGAGTGTGTGATCGGGTGAGTGGGTGAGTGAGTGAGTGTGTGATCGGGTGAGTGGGTGAGTGAGTGAGTGTGTGAGCGAGCGGGTGGGTGAGTGAGTGTGTGAGCGGGGTGGGTGGGTGCGTGAGTGAGTGGGTGGGTGAGTGAGTGAGTGCGTGAGCGGGTGGGTGAGTGAGTGAGTGTGTGAGCGGGTGGGTGAGTGAGTGAGTGTGTGAGCGGGTGGGTGCGTGAGTGAGTGTGCGAGTGCGTGGGTGGGTGAGTGAATGAGTGTGTGAGCGGGTGGGTGAGTGAGTGTGTGAGCGGGTGGGTGCGTGAGTGAGTGAGTGAGCGGGTGGGTGGGTGAGTGGGTGGGTGGGTGGGTGAGTGTGTAGGTGCGTGTGTGGGTGGGTGGGTGAGTGTGTGGGTGGGTGGGTGGGTGGGTGAGTGTGTGGGTGGGTGGGTGGGTGAGTGTGTGGGTGGGTGGGTGGGTGAGTGTGTGGGTGGGTGGGTGGGTGGGTGAGTGGGTGGGTGAGTGTGTGGGTGGGTGGGTGGGTGGGTGGGTGGGTGGGTGGGTGTGTGGGTGGGTGGGTGGTGTGTGAGCGGGTAGGTGAGTGAGTGAGTGTGTGATCGGGTGGGTAGTTGAGTGAATGAGTGTTTCCCGATGAACATTTGTTCATCAGGAAACGTTTGCGAAAAGGCAGTAGTTCTCATCATCAGGCACAGTAATCATGTGCAGCCTCCAATCTCCTATCATCTACTGCATCCTCTCGTCCTGGCCTCCTCTGTTTCACGTGTCATGAAATAGCCCCATTGCCTGAAACGTCGGTCTAGGCTGTTACGGTCTATTTAAGACCGGTTTAAGAGGAATTCTCCACAATTCTGGCTGTGGCCTGATGATGCCGGTTGTGGTTGTAATCACCGGCGAAGCTTCGTGGCACTTGAATTGAAAAGTTGTGGTCGTGGGTTTTACTCTCCAACACACACAAGAGGTCAGTGCTGAAGTAGTCACCAGCGGGGGGCACGCTATGTTTACGCTTACATTTACGCGATCTAACCCAACAACAAAATAATCTCGATTTAAAGCTTTCGTGACTGCAGGGATTCACCTTCTTGGTTCTTTCGGTAAAGTCACGTAGAAGGGAAATAATAAAATATTAAAAATAAAACATAATAAAATTTCGATTTAAAGCTTCCGTGACTGCAGGGATTCACCTTCTTGGTTCTTTCGGTAAAGTCACGTAGAAGGGAAATAATAAAATAATAAAAATAAAACATAATAAAATACAATTCTCACGACGTTTCGGCCACAACGCAAGCAGCCGTCCTCAGGTGAAGAACAGGGCTGTCAGACGCTGTCTTACCTGCAGTCATAATGCAAACAAAATCAGAGTTATGTGTTTTGTTTGCATTATGACTGCAGGTATTGTGGTCTATGCAAACATGACTCCTTGTAAAAGAAGGTTTCAGTTTTGTTGCCAGATTGAAGGGTAAAAAACCAATTATCTACTAGAGGAGTTTCGCTCTGTCAGGCAACACGTATTCTATTTAACAATTAAACCTCAACGTAAAGGGGTCACCACGGCCCCTTACACCCGACACTCCTCTCACTGGCTATTCTACCCCTTCTTGAGTGAAGCTTCGTCTTCGCTGGTCTATAAGCTGGAGTCGACCCTTGCCAGGGGTACGGCTCTGCCCGTGAGCTCTTTTCTTCAGGAGGCTCTTGGTCTTCGGGTGGATGACGATTGCCCCGGACCGTTCAGAGGTCCGGCTTTTATACAAGTCCGTGGCTCGCTCCGCCCCAGCCACGCCTTCCTTCCAGAACCTTCTCCCAGTTCCTGGAAGGATGACGTCATCCCCCAGCCCCCACCCCCATCCCGGGGTCTGGGGTCTGCGTCCCAGGATCCGTTATCCCATCGGGGATTTTTTTTGCACACAGCGTTGGTGTACACGGTGTTTTTTCTGCAATATTTTGCTGTCTTTTTCTTGGATTTTCTGTTTGCACTTAGTCACATATTCACTTTAAGATGTTTTTTGTTCATGTTTTTTTTGTTTGTTGCGGTTGCACCCAATTCAAGAGCCGAATGGCTCACAGGGCTATACCTAATAAATGAACTTGAAAAGTTGAACTTGAAACTTGAAACCGTTGGGCCCCCTGGCCCATAGTTCGTTGACACTGGGGTTACTCACACTACCGCCCCCCTATTGACACGTGTGGGATACTACCGGCTGACAGCATGGAGAGTGCGTCATTACACCTCTACACCTGTTGTGTGTTAGAGAGCAAAGCCACGACTTTTACAATTTGAGTGCAACGTTTCGCAAGTAATTGCAACCGGCTGGTGGACAGCCATATTTGTGGAGAAACCCTGTTTCGTCTTTTTAAATCGAGGGGCAGATGTGATGATGTTACTTGGGAGCTCTTCATGTGCGAAGGGGCGGGAGGGATTATAATGCATATAAATTACAATGGGTATCCATTGCCGGTTGGGTTATTCACATTTATATTTACGCGATATAACCCAAAGCAACCTATGTTATGGATGACATTGGTCGCGAAAGCCTACGCGTTAAAAAAATAGTTTAGTTTAAGTTGAAGAATGATTATTATTATTAACTGTTTATTAATCTTCTTGGTTCTTTCGGTAAAGTCACGTAGAAGGGAAATAATAAAAATAAAACATAATGAAATAATACAAATACAACATTATTATTATGCTTTATTTTTATTATTTTATTATTTCCCTTCTACGTGACTTTACCGAAAGAACCAAGAAGATGAATCCCTGCAGTCACGAATAATAAAATAATAAAAATAAAACATACTAAAGTTAAATAATATAATAATATAATAAAATATTTAAATAAAATTAAATAATATAATCACCACTGCCTCCTCCCTCGTGTCTCCCACCCACCCCCCCTTACCCCCCTTACCCCCCCCAGCGACAGCGAGGTCGAGGAGCAGCTATCGGAGGCGGACTACGAGGAAGAGGAGGGCCTCAGCAGCGGGGGATCGTCCGTCGGTTCGGCCCACGGGCCTCGTGGGGCTCTGAGGCGGGCGCGGGGCGGCCGGGGTGGACGGGGCCGTACCTCGTCGGCGAGGAAGGGCCGCAGGCTGAGGGGACGCCCCGGGCCGAAGAGGAAGAGGAGAAGGAGAGGAGGATTCTCGGATGACGAGGAGGAGGAGGAAGAGGAGGAGGAGGAAGAGGGTGAGTCGCGCGTCGCGTTTAGTTGGGGTGCCGAGCGGACGGCAACGAACAGCGCTGTCAGAAAGGTGTTGGAAAAGACGATGGAGGGGGTTGGGCGGGGGGTGGGGAGCTTCGCAGTGGGGAAGGAACGGGAACGTGGTGTGACCCGCGGTGTGGTGAGTGGGTGAGTGGGTTGGTGAGTGGGTTGGTGAGTGAGTGGGCGAGTGAGTCAGTGAATGGGTGAGTGAGCGTTTGAGTGTGTGAGTGAGTGAGCGAGTTAGTAGTTGAGTGTGTGATGGGTAAGTGAGCATTTTAGTGTGTGAGTGAGTGAGCGAGTGAATGGGTTGGTGAGTGGGTCAGGGCGTGAGCGAGTGAGCGAGTGAGTGAGTGAGTGTTTGAGTGAGCGATTTAGTGGGTGAGTGAATGAGCGAGTGAGTGGGTGAATGGGTGAGTGAGCATTTTAGTGAGCCAGTGAGTGGGTGAGAGTGAGCGAGTGAGTGGGTGAATGGGTGAGTGAGTGGGTGAATGCATGAGTGGGGCGAGTGAGTGGGTGAGTGAGCGAGTGAGTGGGTGAATGCATGAGTGAGCGAGTGAGTGAGCGAGTGGGCGAGTGGGCGAGTGAGTGGGTGAGTTGATGAGTGAGCGAGTGAGTGGGTGAATGGGTGAGTGAGCGATTGAGTGTGTGAGCATTTGAGTGTGTGAGTGAGCGAGTGAGGTGGGTGAATGGGTGTAGTGAGCATTTTAGTGTGTGAGTGAGCGAGTGAGTGGGCGAGTGAGTGGATGAGTGAGTGGGTGAATGGGTGAGTGAGCATTTTAGTGTGTGAGTGAGTGGACGAGTGGTCGAGTGAGTGAGTGAATGGGTGAGTGTGCGAGCGAGTGAGTGGGTGAATGGGTGCATGAGCGTTTGAGTGGATGAGTGAGTGAGCGAGTGAGTGAGCGGGCGAGTGAGTGATTTGGTGAATGGGTGAGTGTTGCGGTTAGCATGATGAACAACGAACCTTCGTGACCCGAGTTCGATTCCCGCTCACGGCCAACACGAGTAGCGATTATCTAAACCGGTCCTGGGGCACATGAGGGGATGGGTGGCCAGCACCACGGCCGGCCGCTCAAAGTCGAATACACACACACCCACTCACGTGCACAAGCAGTCATAATCCCCGTGTCCCCTACAGACGAGCGATCCCAATTCCCCCGTGTCCCCTATAGTCAACATCTCCTAGCCACCGTGATGATGATGAGAGAGAGAAGAGACACGCAAACTCCAAATATACAGCAGCAGGCGTCAGGGTCGGGATCGACCCCACGACCTCCTGCACACGAGGCGAGGTAGTTAACATCTAGCCACCGTGATGATGATGAGAGAGAGAAAGACACGCAAACTCCAAATATACAGCAGCAGGCGTCAGGGGTCGGGATCGACCCACGACCTCCTGCACACGAGGTGAGGTAGTTAACATCTCCTAGCCACCGTGATGATGATGAGAGAGAGAAAGACACGCAAACTCCAAATATACAGCAGCAGGCGTCAGGGGTCGGGATCGACCCCACGACCTCCTGCATATCAGACGAGGTAGTTAACATCTCCTAGCCACCGTGTGATGATGAAAGAGAGAGAGACACGCAGACTCCCCCCCAACCCCCTCACCCCACCCCCATCACCCCACTCACCCCACCCCCCTCTTCCTCCGCCGCAGGCAGCGAGCTGGGGAGGCGACGTGACGGACGAGGACCTGGTGGACTTCCGGTGCCGCCGGTCCCGGCGAGCGACCGCGGCCCGCTCGGTCAACTACCGCGAGGACTCTGAGAGCGCCGGGGAGGAGGGCGCCGGGGGCCGGCGGGCCGGGGGAGGGCCCCAGGGGCGCACCGCCACCATGCTGGCCGCCTTCCGCAAGCGGAAACGGGGACGCAGCTCCGACAGCGAAGGTAACGGGGGTCGAGGTTCGGGTGACGCTGGGGTCCGGTGTACGGGCTCGGCAAGGGTCCGAGTGTATGTGAGGATATATCCGTCTCACTGACGTATCACACCTCGTCTTGATGATTGGCTCTGCCGGTCCTGGTTTATAGCCAATGGGGGGGAAGCCTGGGGACGTGGCCCTGACGTGATGGAAAGGTGACAGCTGTAAGGATTGGTTCTGCTGGCTTTGGCCTCAGCCAATGGGGAGAGGAGTCAGGGGCGTGGTCCCGGGAGCTGACGAGGGAGCCTGGAAGATTCCATGGAGGCTAACGAGGATTGGCGGAAACGTACCACGTGACCCGGGTATTAAATAGGGGTGGAGACAAACGACACGGGGTCAGACCGGGAACGAACGGAGGAAGGGGGCCACGCGGGAGCGGGGCTCCGGTTGCCACGTGGTCCAGGCTGCCACGTGGTCCAGGCTGCCACGTGGTCCAGGCTGCCACGTGGTCCAGGCCTGCCACGTGGTCCAGGCTGCCACGCGGTCCAGGCTGCCACGTGGCAGTGCGTCTCTCTATCTGTCCCTCTCCGCTGCCTGTCAGCAGCGCGAAGGAAAGCTGTAATACAAGTTGAATAAAAGACGGATTCCAGAAGTCGCCTCAACGAGATTTATTACACGAGTATGGGTGAGGTATTAGTTCAGGAGGGGTTCGGCAGGGGTATGGTACGGACGCGGGACCGGGTTCTGTACCGTTCCAGTACGGATGTGGTACGGGCACAGTATGGTTTACGGGCTCGGTAGGGGGTTTACTGTGTGGGTATTGTACGAGTCTGGCACGGGTTCGGTTTGGACACAATACGGGCTCATACGGCTTGAGGAGGGCACGGTGCGGGTTTGTTGGGGCTTCTGGAGGGGTTCGGTGCGGGTTGGTGGAAGTACGGCTTGCAACAGGTTCAGTTTGGTAGGTGCTCAGTAGAGGCACGGTAGAGGTTCATACGGGTTTATTATGGGTTCGGTACAGAAGCTCGTTTGACTCTTGTGTCTGTGTCTGTCTTTCTCACTCCGTTTTCTCTGTTGGTCTCACTGTCTCTGGGTCTCTAGTTCTCACTCTGTCTCTCTCTCTCTTGGTCTCACTCTCTCTCGGGTCTCATCTCAGGCTCACTGTCCCCCGTGTGTCTCTGTCTCTCGGTATCTCTCCGTCTCCCTCTCTCCGTGTCTCTGTGCCTCTGGTTATCGACAACAATTCCGAATCGCGACGACGCTAACAACAACAACGCACCCCGCCACGTTCCCGTCGCGTTACCGCTGCGTGTGTCCCCCGGATGCCAGAGAGCGAGGCCTCGCGCAGCGACGCCTCCGACGCCTCCGACGTACGGGCCGCCCCCCGTCAAGCGCCACCGCAACCGCCTCGACTCCTCGTCCCATCCTCCTCGCCCTCCTCGCCCTCCTCCTCCGCGTCGCCCGCACGGCGCGACGACGACCGGACGAACGGCCGGAGGGAGCCGCCTCGTCGGAACGGGCGCCGCCAACGGAGGAAGGACGACCGACGCGCCGGCCACGACGGGGTCACCC